TTTAAGATATCTTATTTGGATAATATTCCTACAGCACATCGTCACCTCAAGCTGCAAATATGACAGCCTTTGAACAGATTATTGGTACAGAGGATATAATGGGTGCCAAGAGCGGAGAAATCGGCGGTGTGATAGGGTACGCAAGTAACATCAGCCGGGCGTTGCTGGGGTGACTCGTGGACACTCCGGGGATCGCCCAAACACCTGTGCTTCTGTTTCTCTCTCGATCTTTGCGATATTCCCCCATCGAACGACCCCGTGCAAAGTGATCATGATTCCACTGGAGTAAAATTAACCCCATATTTGGATACTTTTTATAAGATTTCTTTTTTTCCCATACCTATTTTCGTTTCCCATTAGTCCCATACACTCTCAAACCATGGCGACGACCAAAACGCTCGAAGCTCGCTTTGAGCATCTGTCCATGAAAGATGAGAAAGAAAATGGAAACAGTGATAGAGCTTACGGCAAGCAAAAGGTACTTGACTCAATGCGATCTAGCTATCCACGTTGCTAACCTGATTTACTAAGCCTCCGGTCTCTTCAACCCAGTCAAACAGCAATTCGAACCGAGCTCAACTATTGAAATTGGCTCTTCAAAATAACAATGAAAACAAGGCAAATGCCATGAACGTTCCAGCCTCGCCAGGTAGGGGATCTCATGGCGCATTGGTAACCCGAAGCACCGATGAAAACGGCGACCAGCGCACATCTTCTTCCCTCTGCGAGCAGCCAACTGTCCCTAAGGAGCTACATTTGGGAATGTTTGAAATTGGTAAACCGCTAGGCAAGGGCAAATTTGGGCGAGTTTACCTTGCCAAAGAACGTTCCTCTGGTTTCGTCTGTGCCCTGAAGGTGCTACACAAGTCTGAGTTACAACAGGGTGGTGTCCAGAAGCAAGTCAGGCGTGAAATTGAGATCCAGAGTAATCTACGTCACCCTAATGTCTTGAGGCTCTATGGTCACTTCCATGACAGCAAACGAATCTTTTTGATCCTTGAGTTTGCTGGCCGTGGTGAGCTGTACAAGCACCTTCGCAAGGAGCATCGGTTCCCAGAATGGAAGGCCGCACAATATATTGCGCAGATGGCTGCAGCATTGAAATACCTGCACAAAAAGCACGTCATGCACCGTGATATCAAGCCCGAGAACATCCTTGTTGGCATTCATGGAGAGATCAAAATCAGTGATTTCGGCTGGAGTGTCCATGCCCCCAACAACCGACGTCAAACGATGTGTGGAACTCTCGACTACTTGCCCCCAGAGATGCTCGGTCATGGTTCCAAGGATAACTACTACAGCGAGAAGGTGGACCTGTGGAGTTTAGGTGTCTTGACTTATGAGTTTTTGGTTGGCGAGGCTCCATTCGAGGATACCCCTGTCATGACCCAACGGCGGATTACCAGAGCAGATATGTCGGTCCCCTCCTTTGTGAGCCCAGAAGCAAAGGATCTTATCAAGAAGGTGAGTCGACGTTCCTACCAATATATATAATTAGGCCGCTTGCTCACATAATATCTAGCTTCTTGTTCTTGATCCCGCGAAGAGAATCCCGCTCGAGGAGATCCAGCGTCATCCTTGGATAGTCAAGCATTGTGAGAAAGACGATCGAACTGTAAAGCGAAGTTCGGGTTCTTCCAAGGAGGGCAAAGTTTGAACCATGACTTGCCCCTTGCATTACAGAGTTTCTGGGAGTTCTGGGTATCGTTCCTTTTTGACATTTTCTTCATGTGGAGTCTGGGTATTCTGAGCCTGTAAGCATTTTTGAAGGCGTGTTGGGTTTGTCTTGGAGTCAAGCTGGAGAGGTACTCGCGATATGGCGATATTTTGTTAATTTTATTTCGCCGCCGACGTGTTCAATACAACATGATACGTTCAAACTACACTACAAGAAGGCACAGCTAGCTGTCGTACCTGATCACTTATAACCAGAATGTAGACAATATGCTTTGATCTCATCTCACCTCCAGTGCCCTCAGTTCGATGATATAGTTGTAAGAAATCCCAAAGAAACTCGAGTAGAGAGGCGGGAAGGTTCCTGTTGCTAGTAAAATCAATAAAATATAGTACATCCAAACAATATGCATCGTACAAAGGGGCGGAGAATAGTACAATGCTGCATGAGTTGTGGTATCATCGGTAGATCTCATCAAATGGGCGCGTGTCCCTGAAACAGCTGTCCCAGACTTCATTGACAACCCTTGTAGCATGGGCTTCGTCTTTGCAAGTCGGTCGTGCTCGCACAGAGAGGATGGCTCTCCGTCGAACACACTCTTGATGCTGTTGCGTAAGCTTCCACTGCCCTCTTCGAAAGAATTCCCGCGCCCATCTGCACTCGCCGCTGAGCGAACTAGCCCGAATCTAGAGAGGATTTAATGAAAATTGACCCGCCAAGATGACAAAATAAAACATACCTCGGTACAGGCCGCGTGCCGCAGATTATCAGACCAATTCACCTTGAACCTGAGGTGGTCATAGGCATGGACCATCTCATGGGCGATAGTATCTTCGAGGTGTCCCTGGTCCTTCATCTCATTTGCGCAGATCAAGATTCCGTATTCCGGATCGAAACCGCCACCCTTTCGATCCGTGCAGCGACGGCAGTAAATATTATGATTGTGAAGATCACCTCCTAATTGTTGAATGCTCTCGCTGAGGAATCGAATCGTAGGACCTTCATAAGTTGACCTTATCAGTAACCGGCTCAGATAACTCTTGGTGACTGGACGAGTGACTCACTATATTGAAGAAGATAATCTCGCTGATCCTCACAGCGCTTGCAGTCTGCTTCTTGATTGCGAGTGTCTCGGGCAACACGGAACTTTTCGATTCCTTCGTTGGACATCTTGCCGGTGAGGATGGAATAAATATTGCGGAATTGGGTCCAGGTGTCATCACCGGGGAGGAAACCTGTAGTATCAGGCTTTACATTTGAAGGTGTGGCCGCACCTGGCGACTGGGAGTCTGTCATTTTCGATCGTCGAGTGTTGAGATTCATGCATTACTGAGCGCGATAAAGCGACCTCGGGAGATCCTCCGCATATGGCGGTGATTACTGGCAGAATCAGCGCCGGAATCGGGCAAAAAGTGCTCTTCCGCAGTTCATCACCGCGGGGCAGTGAACAGAACAGGTTGTTCTATATTCTTTTTGTTTGTTTCTTCATTTTTGTTGCTAAGAGGCTTATTTGAGCTAAAAGTCCGGCCATGGCGACCTCATCGGGTCTCACAATTGTGATCAAATTAGGTGCGGGGATCTATACTTAGTGGCCGATGAGTCGAGTACTAATTAATGTGACAGGAACGAGTTCGATTGTTGACGAGAAAACCCATGAGCCAATTCTTTCGATTTTGACATTGATTGTGGAAACCGTAACCAAACTACATAGAGATGGCCACCGGGTTGTCCTAGTATCATCTGGTGCCGTGGGCGTTGGTCTGCGGAGGATGAATGTGAACGAAAGACCGACCTACCTGCCGCGTATACAAGTATGTGTCTTTGACTCTAGAGAAACTGAACACACAACATGTTCATTGCAAAATTTGCTAATGAAATCTATAGGCTCTCGCTGCAGTTGGCCAATGTCGACTGATGAGTCTTTGGGATAATCTATTCTCCCATCTTCGTGTCCCTGTGGCCCAGATTCTTTTGACGAGAAATGATATTGCTGATGTATGTACTCTTATATCTGCCTAAGTCTGTTTCTCCACTGACACTCAATACAGAGAACCCAATATGTCAATGCGCAAAATACATTTGGTCAGTTGTTTGATATGGGAGTGATTCCTATTGTCAACGAAAATGATACACTGGCCGTTTCTGTAAGGGAGTTTCCCTTCAAGGCATGAATAAATTATCTGACCCAACGATCACCAGGAAATTAAATTTGGCGACAACGATACCCTTTCTGCAATTACAGCGGCTATGGTCAAGGCTGACTATCTGTTTTTGATGACCGATGTCGATTGTCTTTATTCGGCAAATCCTCGAACCAATCCAGACGCAAAACCCATTGAGGTGGTGACTGATATCTCCTCTCTCGAGGCTGACGTCTCGTCGGCAGGCTCCTCCCTTGGCACTGGAGGTATGAGCACGAAAATCGTGGCTGCAAAACTTGGAACCAGTGCTGGTGTCACGACAGTTATCACCAAGAGCTCAAAGCCAGGCAATGTTCACGAAATTGTGAAGTACCTACAATACCTCGAGGCTCAGCCCAATGGCGTAGCAGCTGACGGCCAAAGCGAGGCACCCACTGCCCCTCTCCACACTCGATTCATCCGTTCAGATACCCCGATTCAATCACGGACATTCTGGCTACTCCATGGACTATATCCACATGGTACATTATACATCGACCATGGGGCTTACCACGCAATTTTGAATAATGCCAATCTTCTCCCGGCTGGAGTGGTCGGGGTTGAAGGCCATTTTGGACAGCAGGAATCAGTGCGACTAGTAGTTGTTGATCGGCCATCGCCAGATGCCTTGAATGGAGACTTTATCCACCACAGAGAGGAACCCAAGGAGGTTGGTCGGGCTCTGGTGAACTACGGAAGCATTGAAATCGCACACATCAAGGGCCACCGCAGCACACAGATTGAGACGCTACTTGGCTATGCCGATAGTTACTATGTGGCCATGCGAGAGAACATCTCGTTTCACGAAGACCACAATCATACAGTGACTCCGACATTAACACCGGCCTTGGAGGAATGGAAGTCGCCTTGAGGTATAATACTGGATCATCTATTATACGCATATTACGGACGAAAAAGAAAAATTTCTCACATTCATCTACACTGGATTGATATTACCATTCAAACCTTGATCATTTCGATATAAAAGTTGCTCGGGATATATAGAAAAAGAAAGGAGAAATCTACTCAAGAAGACCCTAGAAGTATGACATCTTGAGGCATGAATGATATCACCTAGGAATTGGATGCGTCCACATCGGTAAAGACATCTGAGAAGATAAAACGACAAGATGCACGAAAGCCTATCAATCATTCCAACGGTCCAACCATTTTTGCATTCTCTTGTCTAATGTGGGCGCAGGAGCGGGTGCAGCCTAACCAAAAACAGAAGGATTAGCTTTCAATATCAACCAATATCGTGCATTTAAACATCAAACTCACCGTGTTCTCGATGCTGTTCGCCGTCCATGTAGCAAAGGCCGTATCTGTGTATTGGACAGTTGGCACACCAAGGTAGGTAGTGGCAATGGAAAATGGAAAAGGCGGGTACTGGGGAGTGGCCGATCTGGTTGCGATAGTAGTCCCAGCGCTCTTGGGCATTGGGGCATATTTGATCGAGCCAGTCTGCTCGCCGTATGGTACAGTATGCTGGTCAACTGTAGCAACGACGCCGACAACGTTACCGACAGCAGCCATCTGTCTTTTACGCAACTCATTGTGCCCAACTTCGCCTTTGACGCTTGGGGTTGGGAACTGCAAGACCATTTCGGCTGAGGAACTCTTGACGAGATTGAAGATGTTGGAAGCCGAAGTCATTTCTGCGGCTTCGATGAGGTGATCATTGTTTTCGACCGTGGGCCAAGGAACAGCGATGGCAGCGATTGGCTGCATTGTCTTGATCGCATTTGTTACTTTGGCCGAGAAGGTACCTTTCATGTTGGTCAAAGTGAAATGGGAAGTAAACCCAGACCAGTCATTATGAGGGCCTGATAGAACTATCTTGAGGAAGCTGATTGAAACCGGGGGGCATTGGTCAGTCACATAAAGGGAATTGACGAAGCCCACTGGTGCTAATGGGGGGGATGGTCTTACTATGCATTGGGTTCATTTCCACCGACACTTTGGTCGACTTGAAATGATACCATGTCACCAGAAAAATAGGCCCCTTTATTGATAACTTGCGATAGAGTGTCCTGAATATATGGTTAACTCCATCTTTTGTAGTATAGAGAGAAACCATACATATGACCCTGTCGTCTCGTCACCGGCACAGAGATAAAAATCATAAGTTGAAGACATGTCACTGTCTAGACCCCAAAGCAGGCTCACGGCAGCTGCACCATCGAAACTCAAGTCATTTGTGATCTGGGAACTGATCTGGCCATAGGCGGCCGCAAATAGTAGGGCAACCTGAAGTAATGGGACTCGCATACTGATATGATTGAAAACCATTGGGGTTCTAGAGAACACCAGAGAACAGAGAGCAATCTCTCAAAATAGAGAAGGGACATCATCCCTTTATAAGGCTCCTTGGTATGTGTATCATTCCTAAGTCCTCCCTTTTGAAGGTTATAGAAGTGATATGCACTAAGATAAGAGGAAGTGGTCCGTGCTATCCTTCGGTTTCTCCTGTCAAAGTGTCGGCCCATCACTTTTGACAACTCACAACCATGTCGTCTCAAGCAAATTGGAACTCAGTGACTGGCATTGCCACACTGCTGTTTGATGGTAACCTCGTTGCCATTACTATTGCCATCCTTTTCACCTTTGGTGTCCCGATCGCACTCCACATCTTCTTCTTCCAGGCCGTAGCTTCTCCGCCCTCGAGTAATTTCCTACTCCTAGGCCCCAGTGGAGCTGGCAAAACTGCTTTTACAACCTTAGTAAGTTCTCCAGGATATAGTGGTTGGTTCCTTGCTAACCAATCTATAGCTCGAGGCCAAGTCCTCACTCGCTTCGAACAAGTCGCACAGCACCCACACCTCCCAACAATCAACATTAGTAACCGTGACCCTACCACCCACTGTCCCCACCGGATCCAACCGCTATCGATCGGACAATGACCCCTCCTTGAAGGAGGCCGTCCGGAATCCAATCAAGTACCGCGTAAGGGATACCCCTGGCCATGGCAAGCTCCGCGTCTCGCAAGGAATCTCCGAGCTCCAGACCATGTCCCAGTCAAAGGACATCAAGACAAGGCTACGTGGCGTAATTTTCATGGTTGATACCGCTGCCCTAGTCGACGAAGCGACACTCCGTGACACCGCGACCTATCTACACGATGTTCTTCTCTTGCTCCAGAAGCGCGCAAAGAACGGGTCATCGAGCAAGCGGACCACTGATATCCCTGTCTTAGTTGCCGCGAACAAGCAGGATCTATTCACCGCACTGCCACCAGGTGCGGTGAGAGAGAAGCTGGAAGCGGAGATTGATCAAATCCGCAAGTCGAAGACCAAGGGTCTTCTGGATGCAAGTGCGGATACTGGGTTGGAAGACGAAGAGGAGATTTTGGGTAATGATGAACAAGATACCTTCAGCTTCAAGCTCCTGGAGCACGAGGTTGGTGTCAAGGTTGATGTGGTTGGAGGTGCTGTTAAGGGCGACTTGCAAGAAGAGCTCGGATCCGGAGTGCGGCGCTGGGAGGAGTGGGTTGGTATGTGCTTGTGAGCGATATGAGTTTTTACTTCCTTGTCTTGATGGTCCAAAATAGTAAATAGGTGGTCCTATCATGGTTTTCCTGTATATCTTATACCAGAAGAGAGAGAAAAAATAGCACCAAGGTATTTGAGAGACTACAATGTGAGTTTCTATTGATATTGCCAATACAACCCCAATGTCTCTGTAGCTTGTGCATCAATCCAGTCCTGTACGGTCAGCAATGATAGATATAAAACGGCATGAAAGAAAAGAATAGTACTCACCCACAGATCTCGAGCAAGCTTCATATCTCCGGGTATCGCACTAGACTCACACAGCGTAGCGATAGGTATGAAATACTGACCACGGTGGTCCTGCTCTCGTACCTCGTGACTAGTAGCAAGATATAATGCCGTAGCAGCTCCATCCTCCAGATTCTGACCCAGCCATGACCCTACCGTTCTTATAAACCAACCTAGGAAACCCCCAAAATAAGAATTCCACCCGAGCCATTGATCAGTAACGATATTGCCCGGGAAGAATGAATTGACATAGATCTGTTTGCTTGCTGGATCTTGATCATCCAGAAGGCGCCGGCTGAGCTCTTTGGCAAACAGGATGTTGCCCAGTTTTGACCGACCATAGCGCCATACTCCATCGTACAAGGCGGGACACTTGACGCGTGACGATGAGAACAGAAGATCCAGGTCAAGATTTTGGCACCAAAAATGGAACGATGAGCTAATAACGACAATTCGTACGTCGCTGCCGGGCGTTACACCGTTCTTCAAGAGAGGTAGGAGTGAGGTGGCTAGGACTTGGTGCCCAACGCAGTTTGTCGCGAACACACGCTCGATATTCTGGGGTGAGCGCTTGCATTCATTTTGAACGCTGATGGCTTCATTTTAGGGAGGTAGGTTAATATGTAATGATCCGGTTGAGATAGAGAAATAGAGCTCACCTGCATTGCAAACCAGTATATGAATCCGGTCTGTGACTTGTTTTATCTTGTCAACTGCGGCCTTGACATCCTGAATATCCCCGAGATCGCATTTAACAAACACAGTTCGAGTGTCATTCACAAGTGAGATGCCTTCACGGTGTCTCCATTTCGCGAGCAGTGATGTATCTGTCTTCACTTCTGGCAATGATGATTACTTTCTTTATGCCATGTAAGAGAAGCTCTGTGGTGATCTCTGTATTTATTATTATACTCTGCATATTCAAGTGGCTTGAGATCAGGGGCCCATGCTTGCCTTTGCCAATGCCTGCTTGTCCACCCTGGGAAATTAGTTGGGCCGAGATATAATGAGAGTATGTACTCACTGTTACCACAGCTAGTCTTTCGTTCAACGCCGGTGTATTTTCCAGGGAGAAGTTTCGATGTGTAAAGATTCCTGTCATCTTGAGTTGAGGTAAAGTTGAGAGTATTCCCAGGTGAAGTTGGCACATATATCTGGAATCAACGTCATCGCCACCTAACCAGAATCTGAACAAGTACCATATATATATGTATATATTTGTTTTTTCTATGGTATGTATATTAAGTATGTATCACACTCAACGCCTTTGCGCTGCACTAGGGATTTCATTCCCACGATGTGTTGAATCCCAACGGGGAAGCCTTCATGCTAACACAAGAGAAACGCCTATCCCAAGATATCAAAGAATGTTCAGGAATGTTGAACCCTTACCCAACAAGCAAAGTCACACGTGAATGCATTTCAGGAAAGAAAAGAAACCCATTTTAGGCCTTGTTCGCCTTGGACTGGTGTAGCATCCAAGTGAGCAGATCGACCTTGGTAGCGATGGCCAATGGCTTCATCGCACCACTTGCGTCCTTCTCGGTCACGACCGCAGCACTGTTCCACTCGAAGAAGCGGTTCAGGACACTGAGAGGGGTATCCATAGTGATCTCAATGAAGCTGCGACTCCGGGTCTGGGGCTTGAGGGAGTCCATTCCCTTGGAGAGATCACGGGGGTCGGTGACCACCTCGGAGATCTTAGAGAAGTCAAACATGACATCGGAAACGGGGCTCTGGCCGGAGGCCCGGCCGTGCGTCAGTCGGCTCAGAACATTGCCTAGCGTAACGAGACCGACGAGCTTGCGCCCAGAGGGGGCAAGGACAGGAAGCTGGTCGAAACCTCGGTCGCGCATAACCTCGATAGCAGTCTCACAAGGGGAGTTGGCTGTCACGGTGGTGATGGGCTTCAAGCGCAAGGCGCTAACCTTGGCATTGGCCAGAGGGTTAGACTCGGGCTCCTGGGTTTGAGTGGTCGATGCAACGGCGGGGAGCGATGGGAGCAGATCGTTAGCTGCGAGCCAGTCGTCATCGGCGAACTTGAATTGAATTGGTTAGTTTGAATGTAACATAGATGAAATATTTTGATCCTACCTTAGAGAGGTAACTTCTGATGCTGTCGGGAAGAATCACAACAACGACATCGTCCTTAGAGAACTTCTTGGCCTCGTTAGCCTTGACCAGAGCAGCAATGGCACTGCCACTACTACCGCCGACTAGCAGACCCTCCTCGGCGATCAGACGTCGGGAGTACTTGAAAGACTCCTTATCTTCGGTCTTGATCCACTGGGTCACGGCATCTTGGTCCAAAACCTCGGGGATGAAATCATACCCAATACCCTCGACCTTGTAAGGCTCATTGGCACGAGCTTCGTTGAGGGAGGAAGGTAGAGCGAGAATAGAACCAAAGGGATCAGCGGCGATAACGTTGATATCGGGGTTGTGCTTCCGCAGGCCACGGGCTAGACCGGTGATCGTACCACCGGTTCCAGCACCGGCGACAATAGCACTGATCTTGCCATTGGTCTGAGTCCAGATCTCCTCGGCAGTGCCAAGCTCGTGTGCCAACGGATTGTTGGGGTTCTCATACTGATCCAAGATGTGAGCGTTAGGCAATTCCTTCTCCAGGCGTCGGGCCACGCCGATATGGGACTCGGGCGAGTCAAAGGCAGCTTCATTGGGGGTTCTGATGATAGTTGCGTTCAAGGCACGCAGAACTGAGACTTTCTCGGCGGACATCTTCTCTGGGAGAGTTATGATGGTTTTGTAGCCTAGAGAAGAGATAAAAATTAGGGACAAATGGGACAAGCAAAGCTTAGACAATATAAACATACCCTTGACAGCACCAACCAGTGCCAGACCAATACCACTAATGAATCTCAATTAGCATCGGTGCCACCCTTGAAAGGGGAAAGAAAGAACCTACGTGTTGCCACTGGTGGGCTCGATGAGAGTATCACCAGGCTTGATGCGACCAGATCGCTCAGCTTCTTCAATCATGCGAAGGGCAATGCGATCCTTGACACTGCCACCGGCATTGAAGTACTCCAATTTGGCGTAGACAGTGGCATCGATTCCCAGGGTGCGGGGCAGACGATTCAATCGCACAAGGGGTGTGTTACCAATCTGCTGGGTAATAGTATCCAAAGTAACCGGCGGATTGCCGGGAGTTGTGATAGAAGCCATTATGTGTGAGTTGTAGTAAAGAGAGTAGGTAAAGAGGAAGTTCGAAGGCAAGAAGATTTCCGACTTTTTGCGCCCCGCCCGATGATAGCCGGCTTTTTTTTTTTTTGATGGGCCCAGATCTATATACAAGTCACATCGCAAAAAGTATTAGCACCGCCGGATCAATATTATGCCGGCAATTGGGAAATTTACCAAATCAAGGCTTGTAGAAATATGGCGGTATACTTTTATTAGAAGGCGGTATAAGTAAGGGTGCTAAAATTTCTTTAGAGTTACTGTACATGTGGACTTTTTCTGTAGCCATGTTATAGTAAGAAAATATATATAGATGTATTAATACATAATATGTATAGTTAGAAAGATTAATATGCTTATAACTCATATGCTATAGTGGAAAAGTCATTGACTGTATACAACATAAAGAGAATAGGAATTCGAATAAGCCTGGGCAGAAAGTACGGAGTACTCCATAGATTATTCCCAAGGTTGTCCATATACTTTAATCTTAAAATATCTGAATAGCCAAGGCTGTGGCTGTGCAACCTCGTTTCATAAATATTATATACATAGTAAGTATACAATAGAAATAACTTCTGTTATATATTCTATTTTCTAGGTATATAAATGTTACAAATACTAATTTTTTTTAAAAAAAGGATATACGCTAAGAGGGGAACTAGTAAATAAGATGATTGGGTTTAAATTAAAGTGCCAACGCATATTTGTTTTTGTACTACGGAGTACTCTACATAGTCTTTTCCTCTCCTTTTTCCCCTTACTTTTTCTTTACCCTTTCAAATCCTCCTTATTTTCTTCCATTTCTCGTTTTGTTACCCCTTCACCCTTCTACCTTATAGTTATCGGAAATGACCTCAATCAGATCAACACATTCACATACCGACCTCCGTCTCCGAAATGGCGACCCGAAAACCGTCCAGGAAAAGCGTTCACAAAACTCGATATTACCCACCATCTCCACCACTTCCAAGCGAAGATGGGCCTTATTTCGTGTGGACACAGCCGGAGAGAGTGGTCGAACCGGCATTCATCCATGGCATCTCCTCAAAGTATGCTTTAGGAGTGTCTGTACACTTTCGATGGTCGTGAATATCCTCTGGCCGTTTGTACCCGCTGCAATTGTCGTCCATTTTGCGCGACCCGATCTTCATGTCTGGATTTTCAGTCTCAATTACATCGCCATGGTGCCCTCAGCGAACCTGCTTGGCTTTGCGGGAGGAGAGCTAGCCAAAAAATTACCAAAGATGATAGGCATTGTGGTTGAAACAACTTTAGGCTCTGTGGTGGAACTCGTGCTCTTTATGGTTTTGTTATATAACCATGGCCGAACCGAACACTCGGATCTGATTCCTGTCATCCAGGCCGCTATTCTCGGTTCCATCATGGCAAATCTCCTGCTTTGCTTGGGTCTATGTTTCTTTGTCGGTGGTATCAAGCGTCATGAGCAGAGCTTCCACGAAGCCATCAGTGAAGTTGGTACCGGGTTGCTTCTTGTCGCGGGTTTCGGTTTATTGATCCCAAGTGCGTTCTACTCCGCGCTGCGTGGAAGCGTCAATGACCATTTTACTCTGGTGCAGTTGGACGAGTATGCCTTGACGATTAGCCGTGCCAGTGCGGTGATCCTTCTCGTGGCATTTTTGACGTGAGTGATCCTAGGCTCTCGCCTATAATCCTACTAACACGTGATAGATATCTTTTCTTCAACCTACACAGCCACAACTCCATTTTCGATGATATCCTGGAGAAAGACGAAGACCATGACGAAGACCGACACGAAGAAGCCGCGAGAGCAAAACTCACAATGATAGAATGCTTCGTGGTCATTGCCATTGCCCTGACCTGCGTCTGCATGTCCGCCGTCTTCCTGGTCCAAGAAATCGAGTACATTGTGGAGCGCGGCGTCTCGGACAATTTCCTCGGTTTGATTCTCGTCCCTCTGGTGGAAAAAGCCGCCGAGCATCTCACGGCCGTCGACGAAGCCTGGGACAACCAGATCAACTTTGCACTCTTCCACTGCCTAGCCCCTTCGATCCAAACAGCACTGCTGAATGCGCCACTCACTGTCATTGTTGGTTGGGGCATGGGCAAGGATATGAGCTTGAACTTTGAGATCTTCATGGTTGTTCTCCTCGTGCTCTCGATTCTGGTCGTTGGGAACTTCTTGCGTGATGGCAAGTCCAATTACCTTGAAGGTGCTCTTTGTGTGTTGGTTTACTTCATCATCGCGGTTTGCACTTGGTACTATCCCCCAGTGCACATGACCTCGACTAATCAGGCTTGAACGTCAGGTAGATATTAGACGCGTTCGGTTCGCGAATATATTCCATGCATGTATATCATATATCACCCATGGTTATTTGGAGGAGTTTGATGGGACTAAATCTCCATATATGGTTAGAGTAAATAAGTAAATAACTGCCTGAACATCAGCACCTAGCTAGTCAAATGAAGCCACATAATGTAATATGACCTCATATGAGAGACAAAACACAATATGATCAAAGGGTTATTTCAGGGTAGTACGAGAGCGCAAGGCTTCGTTCATCAACATCTGCGCATCAACGCGCAGCTCGAAGTCGGCCAGGAAACAAAAGCTGATTTCGAGTTTTGACAGTTCCTGCTCACTGACTCCGCCGACCTTCGCAACCCGACTATGCGGATAGCTCAGGTCTTCTAGAGCTTTGGAAGCAACCCAGACACCAGCAAGGACAAGCCTGTGCATATTCTTCGGCAGTACGCTCAACACATTTTCGACTAGCGTCATCTTCGATATATACACGCTAGCTGCGAGATATACCGCCGTAGACATAGGACAGTACCTATGCAAACGGAGCAGATACTCGTTCAATGGAATCGGCGGCACCTTCTTCGACAAAAACTTCTTCGCCAAGATAGCCATTTGGATCGCCTCTTCCGTCGCCCTTAGGGGATCACTGCAGTCCTTAACATGTAGCCCGACAGCTTTCGCCTTGAGCTCATCCTCAGCAGGGGTACCATAATTCAGAGGAGGGTCATGCACATGCAGCTCATCGGTACCAACGGGCTTCTGAGCGAAGTAAGCGCCTAGCCGCTCAATATTCAAACAAAGCAATTGTAATGCAGCCTCGGGCGAAATATCAAACACGGCGGTGGGGGTCTGTGACGAATCATGATCGTCGGGCTGGTGACGATCAATATTATCCGTCGAGCCGAGTTTCAGCATGGTTGGGGAGTTTGGGTTTGGGTTTGGGTTGGAATCTATGTCTTGGGACATGGGCACGGTCGTAGTTTGTGTCACGGCAGTAGCCATGGTGTGCGAGTGTGGATTTCACTGCCACGCGCAGGCGCGGGCCTGGTAGGGGGTTGCGAGCAGAGCACACCTGGACCTCGAGGTGGATAGTGGCTCCCTGGCTGGGTATCTCATTTTCCAATGAGTGGTTTATGGCCTCTGCTGGGACTCTCTCGCTTTGGATGGGTTAGGGGAGTTGGAGAGAGATTGTATGAGTCGTATAGCGGGGGTGGTAAGTTGGTCTATATGGAATGAGAGGCTGATTAATTTCTCAAAGAATTAAACTCACCAATAAAGGGTATCGGAAATTAAATCGAATTGAAGAATCTACACGAGGTAACATTGAACAAATCCAAGATAAAGGGGAGATAAGAAAGTTGCCACATGTGACCTGCTATATATTGACAAGAACCTCCACTCCAATTCTATAATACAAATTAACACGCAACATAGAGACGGCATTGTAAATATACTGAGCGGATTACATGGTACTATTCAGGGGATCACCTCCCCAATAGATACCTGCACTCGACAGGCGATCTCGCCATACCTATCCTTCTGTTTGCAACTCCAGTTACAGCTCAGCGCTAAAGGTAGAGACTATGCTGCTCTAGAACCTATGTCGCCTAAGAACGAGCCGAGCCGAGTCCGACATTCCACGGGATCCATATGAGACCACTCTAGGCTCTCTTGTTTCGTAATACACGTTTTCTTCGTGTATGTTTTGGGCCCGGGCTTTTCGTGACGATGATTGGTATGGAACCTCAACATAGCGATCAACGAACCGAACGTTTTTCGGTACTCGCTCCTCCATTCTTATCGGCCTTGAATAAGAGTCATGTCTTTGTCTGGCAAAATTAGACGCCGTTTTGTGACCCGGGGGATGGACCATGAAGAGCTTGCGAAGCGGTTCATAGGTTAAAGGTGCATACCGTGAATTGCAATTGTAGACCGGCTCTGACCTGTAAGCAGGATACGGATAGCGAGATCGTATCCCTGTCGAGTACAGGTAACTGGGCTCTGGGGAATACGTATATCCCATGTATGTTTCTATAGGGGAGTGATCCCCTGAATAGTACCGTGTAAACCGCTCAGTGTATTTGCAATTCCGTCTCTATGTTGCGTGTTAATTTCTTGTTCTCGATACTTCATGGAATCCGAGGATAACTCGAGGGCAACGAAGTCATAATAATTGATTCTTGAACAATGTATCTGGAAACAAAGATACTCTCGAACAAGGGAGTTGTCGAAGAATCATAGGCGGAGAAATAAAGAATGGAACTTGACGAACATCGTTCTTTGCAGCAGCACGGCTGAACTTCCAGGCATAGGTTGTGTAAGACATGTGGACAATGGACTCTCAAAAGAGCTGATTCCTTTCAAAAGTGTAAAGATAGAGAAGTATTGGTATACTTGGTTCAAAAACAAAGCAGGTTTGACAAAGGTAATCTGGTATAGATTGAGAACAAAGAGCTTTATGGCGAGATATCGACTTGATTTTATATTCGAGTATTTGGACAGGGATTTGAAGGCAACATCTCTAAGACACCTATAATGAATTCATTAATTGTTCAATATTTTCTTTCTCGAAAAGATGATACAAACCTGAGATCATTAAGGCGCAGCTTAGCGAGTGAACGTCTTTGAAGACCAGTTGCCTGCTAAAATCTGACAAGATACTATGTTCAACTTCTTTCCATCACACCAGAAATGCGATGTTGGGCATCTCCCCCGAAGAATGAAGGTATATCAAGAAGTGATATAGTGTGATTGACAAGGGACTCCTGCGTGAGGCGCGGCTTGAGGTTGAGAAGCAGAGCGTCAAGAAGTAGAGCTGTGGCCTGCTATTTGTCCATCATACAACCAGCACAACTTTTCGGAGAATAAGATCCAATACCTTCTACACGATTTCTGACATCACTGTTTGAGATTCACTGCGCAAACATTAAGTAATATAAGGAAATCCTTCAGCCACACCAGGCGTCAAATCAGAGGTCGTGCCACTTAGGGCGCCAAAATAGCCAACGGCGATTAAGAGCCAACAATTGACATCTTCAAGACCAGACCAAATTTCATGCATCAACTAGATTCATAGAAACAATAGAACCCTGAAGGGGGGAAAAAAACCTTGGGCAGCAAAGCTTCGCCAAAATGCCTATATCCACCGCTCAATTAATCTATCTTGATTACTATCACGCTGGTGGAGAACATCCAAATTGAGCTTCTGGGCCCCATTTTGAAGACTTGTGAGTTCCTTCTCGAGGTCCAAGAGCGCTGACTCCTCGGAAGAATCGCGTAATGATGTTTCATAGTAAGAGTCGGCGTGCAATGAGCAACGAAGAAGCTGAGATGCGTTATCCAACGGTGCTAAATGGGCCACGAGAGGAGCGTCCACCGCTATATTGAGACTGTGGAGTGTTTCGGAAATGTGATATCGCTTCTCATGAAGGTCACCAACGCCTCCATTTTCGCGTGGGTGGAGGATTGATTCCGGTGGTACACCAACACGCCTCAGAAGTCTTTCTAGTGATGGTTGGGCAACTACAGGCGCACTGAACGTCTGAGTGGCGAGAAGGAGGCCTGGCTGGAACGATCGCCGGCGCAAAGACTCTCGTCGGGACGATGGCTGTGTGACGAGTTCGCTGCCTGCTTCAGATTGGTATAACGCGGCTAGCTGTTCTAACAGTTCAGAAGACGACTCCCGGACTCCGAGTTGGTTGGTAAGATCTTGCTTTGATAAGGTCATCTCGATCAATATGTCAAGTGCCTGGTATGACTTAGCTCACTGCTGGTAAATGGATACTGCCGAGGTAGAGCCTCATACCTGTTCTAGTTTCTCCTGCGACGCCACTCGAAGCTGGTCATGCTCGTTCTGAAGTTCACGGAGGATAGGATCCTGGAACTGTTGCCTGGTCGACATTTCTGCCAAGATTTCGATCTCTGGATATAGCGACTCTAGTTCTTCCTCGAGGGCAATGCTCGTTGGCTCATCTATGGTGTTGTGGTCCGAGCCCGCTGAGTGTATTGTTTCCAGATATATTCGGTCCAGACGGTAGTGTATTTCCTCTGCCACGTAGTCTGACAGCGTCACACTTAGATGGTTCGTGCGCTTGACCGTAGATGCGTCATTCCCACGATATTTGATGTTAGACATGAGCGTTTCCAGACTCGCAAGAACCTTGTCGTCCTGCTTTAACCGGGTAGACAGAGAAGCGAGGATTCTCTTGCTTTCCGCGCCCGACTTGTCCGTCGCAGTTCTAAACCCGGCTTCCAACTCATCGGCAAGCTCAACTGCCTAGATATAACCGGAATCAGCAATAAGCGACGGTTTTGGATGAACATGCCCCTACCGCCATTGTAGTATTTTGCCTCCCCGCTTCGTGTTTCTTTTGCAACCGAGCGATATCCCGACTCCGCTGCTGCTCCACTTTGTGTTCCAGACCGAGTTGCTTATTGAGGCTTGCACATTGGAACTTCAGAGTCTCGGTCTGTTTTTGAATTGTCGCCGTTGAGGCTTCGAGTGACTCGATCGTGTTGCGGAGTTCATCTTCGAGGATAGGTCGCGTCGCGCCGAGGTCTGGGTTGTGAAGAATAGGTTGGAGAGCACCAGAGTTTTCGAGCTTGAGGTATCTATCTCCAATTAGCTATCTCTTCAAAGTAGATGGGATACGAAACGTACAACGCGAGCTCGTCTTTTGATAGCAGAGTGTCAGGACGGAGGTGCTCAGACGCCCACTGTGCATTTCTGTCATCAAATACCGACACAATAACCTCCTGCTCAACTGGAATATCTCGATCCTTGAGGATTGAGATGAACTTCAAAGTGTCCATTGTTTTGGGGAGGTTGAGACATAAACAAGGAGCTCCGAAAGTGGAGCTGCAACTTTTAAACTCCTTCGATCTCTCAGATATGGATTTTATGAAAGGAACAATAATTATTGTGATATACTATAATTTTTATATAAAGAAGTTATATATAGCTTTAGAAAGTCAGTTAGAGATAAATAATTATATATTTGAAAGAACCAGTTTATGTTCTTTCATAGTTTTTAAAGCCTTTATGAAGCCCATTGAAGATTGAAGTATAAAAGGTTCTGACCCCCCAGGTTTGAAATATATCGACTCAAGCCAATTAGCCATTCTATTCAGACACTGAAATCAGTAACTAAACATGGAAGCAACAACTTTGAAGGTTCAAGAATTTTTCGACTCGCGAGATGAGTTCGTCGTATATATCCACCAACTGTCCGCCGGGGATATCTCATGTCAGGACCTCGCCGCAATCCAGATTGAGCTTCATCGTATAGCTCACACACTCTCTAGGTGGAAGGAGTTTCGAAGTGATCCCAACGAGCCGACTTGCAGCTGCTTTGCAGACCAGTGCGGTAACCTTTCGGGTATTATTGTAGAAGTCGCTGAGATGGCCACTATTAAGGATGGGCAACTTCCTCTCACTGTTCTCAAGATGTTCGATATGTTGGCTATGCAGGTAGGACGACTCACTCTTGACGGCGGAAAGGACGAGTATGCACTGTACTATGATCGCATGGCCAAGGACGAAGATCGTAGATGGCAGATTAAGTCCCAGGGACCGGATGACGGTAGAGCTGCACTTCTCTTTGGCATGTGGACTCGCATGAGTCGTACATGTCCAAATTGCACTGTGTAAGGGTAATTCTTTTTCTAACTTCTAGATATAATTGAAATATAAGGCATTCAAGTATGAGAGTAATGAGTATGAAGCTGTTAAATGTCAAGTGGAGATCATGTAAAAGAACAATATCCTATACGTGTAGTTATAAAGATCGACAAGAAAAAGAGAAAATACGGCTGCCTATAGCTGAGTAATCATCCCCCCCAAAAAAAGGAGGTTTAGAAGAAAATATAATATAGAAATCAAATCTATATGTTGTATAAACCTCTTTTAACATACGTATATAACACAAGTGTATGCTTATGAAATGTACGAAGTGGCTGTTGATTAGCGTCTCCGCAAATCCAAAGTCCGCCCTTTCGACCTCTTTCACATTTACCATTTACTCGACCTTTTATCGCATATAGTGAATGCGCTGGTGAACAACCATGTTCTTTTAGACTGTTCCACAGTTCAAGTCTCCTTTATCACCGTCATTCGATACACATTCGATACAACTACATATTCAACGCAAAATGTCCCAAACCTCCCCAGAACCCCCAGGTCCCAGTCCAGGCCAGACCTCGAGTTCAACCTCCACCTTAAATGGCAACGGAACACCTACTCCTCCAAACGATGTGGAGATGAAGAGCTTGCGCCCTGATCCCCCGAAAGGTTCAATCCCTCTTGGGGAGGATGTGATGCAGTTGGCTAGGATGGGGGAGATTGGCACCATGCAGAAGTTATTCACAGCCAAAAAATTCACCGCAAACCACCGAGATGAAGAGGGGATTACACCACTGCATGTTCGTTACAAGCCAGCGCAATATACATCTATTTACTGACCGTATTTTCTCTTTCTAGTGGGCGGCAATCAACAATCAATATGCGATGTGTAAATTCCTAATCGATTCCGGAGCCGACGTCAACGCCAAAGGAGGAGAATCGGTAGCAACACCAGCCATGTGGGCTGCACAACGGTGTCATTATTATATTGTGAACCTACTGCTTCAGAACGGAGGCGATCCTCTCCTGACCGATGTCCAAGGATACAACATTCTACACCTCGCAACGATCGATGGCAACGCTTTCCTAGTCGTGCTGCTTTTACACCAAGAGATCCCCGTGGATGTTGTCGACCAACAAGGGCATACTGGACTGATGTGGGCTGCATACAAGGGGTATCCTGCATGTGTGGACTTGTTTTTGCGATGGGGTGCCAATGCAAATGCTGTGGACGAAGGTGGCTTGACGCCGCTTCATTGGGCGCTAGTCAAGGGCTCGATGCCCTGTGTCTTGAAGTTGCTAGAATATGGCACCGACCGCTTTGCAAAGACCCGCGATGGAAAATCACCTGCCACTGTGGCTCAGGAAATGAATACCCTGCGGGTTTGGTACCGCTCGCTTAACGAGCGCGGCTTTGAACCGGATGGCACCCAAAAAGTGGTGCCTCTGGGCCTCTCAAACTTCGTACGCAGCAAGAGCATCATGGCTAAGTTCTTCTTCTTCTGGCCTTTCTTGATTATTCTGGTTGCCATCTGGATGCTCAGTAATCTGTCGATTTTCGTTGCTGTGCCCCTCGTGTTAGTGACAGTCTTCGGGATGCAGTACGTTGCACAGCAATTTGCGAACAAGGGGCCCATGGAATATCGTGTTCTGCACAAAACACCGTATTTGGCTGGCGTCTTTGCAGGCACATTATTCTGGGTCGGCTTCCGTTATGCTTTCAAGGTGCTGCCAGCAACATATCTATCATCTCCGGTTCTGAACATCTTGTTCGCGGTCTTCTTCTGCTTGACTGCTTATTTCTACATTTTTGCCATGGTCCAGGACCCGGGTTATGTTCCAAAAGTCAGCAGCAGGAATCAGCAGAGAGAGATTGTTAAGGAATTGTTTGAGCAATGGAAGTTCGACGAAGAGAATTTCTGCATCCCCTGTATGGCAAGAAAGCCACTCCGGAGTAGGCACTGTCGGCGCTGTGGACGCTGCGTCGCCAAACATGATCAGTATGTGCCTTGAGGAATTCCCTATTGACCTACCCGCTAATTTTTCGATAGCCATTGCCCATGGATTGATAACTGTGTTGGGGTAAACAATCTCCGCCATTTTGTTCTTTATATAGTCTCCCTCGAAGTTGGCATCATTCTGTTTGTGCAGCTAACTATTGCCTGTGAGTACTATCCAAGTAGTGATATGTTGCCTCGGATCAGTCAACTAATATGATGCAGATATCAATTCTCTACCCGCGCCTACCAATGCTACTTGCAATGTTATCAACGACACGTTGTGTGACTACGCCTCTCGGGACCCCTTCACTTTGGTTCTTAATGTTTGGATCACCCTCCAGCTGGTCTGGGTCACGATGCTGTGCGCCGTCCAGCTCGTCCAGATCTCTCGCAACCAGACAACCTACGAGAACATGCGAGGCCACCACATCGACCGGTCCTACCCAAGCTCCCAAGCCTTTGCATCGGCCATGACCGCCGGAACCACGTCAATGGAAGCTGCTGGTCTTTCGGCTTCTGGACAAGGACCTAACCCGGCCCTCCGAGGCCCATCCGAACCCCGACGGAAACATGGCTGCATTCAGCAGTGGTCATCTCTTCTCGGAATTGACGCTTTTTGGACAACCGCCAAGGACGGTCTTCGGGACGGACCCCAGGCAGATCGTCCCAGCAACCCTTTCTCCCGCGGTGTCATCACCAACTGCCGCGACTTTTGGTGTGACCCGGCTCCGCTATTTAGCAAGCGCCAGACCGGGGCGGCGATGCTGGGCGGAGAGGTGATCAACTATCATGATATGTACGAAACTCCAATGCGTATGCACACCGGCAATCGGTCCGGCGAGGGACCTGGCTACCGCAGCGTTGCTGGCGACGACCCGGAACGTATGGTATAAGCTGATCCGAGATTTGAGCGTATTTGCATTGACATCCTTCTACCCTGTGTTTTATTATGCAAATCAGCGCGGTGTTGTACTATTGGGGCACGTGGTACGACTAAATATCTGCATTTAGAATGGATCCTGTACAGTTGACGTTAGACATTAATGATCCCAAGGTTTCTTTTTGTTTTTTTTTATTTTTTTTTTACTGTATTATTATGAGAGATAGTTTGGCTCTTGAATAGCAACATGAACCGGTATTCGTCATCAAATATATACAACATACACCCACTTAGCGTCCAATGTCCTCAACACCTCCCCACAACTTCACATTTCCATCAGATAAGATAGATCGTTTCCCTTGGCCCCTGCAGTACACTGCATAAGAGCCGAATTCCGGATCCTTCTCAGCGTTTCTGGAATGATGCCTACCTAGGAAGGGCAGACCTATCCCGTCCGAACGGGCCGATTGGTGCATCCAACCAAGTCTAGGTCCAGATACATGTATGTATCGCGCTGCACATGACAGGTTTACGCTTTACATTACACATTACAAGAGGATAAAACGTACCTGCATGAGAGCTGCGGAGGTGCATATGGCCAGCGCACACTCGGTGACAAGGTACTTCTGTAGCTTGCGATCCTGCCAAGCGGATAGCGGCAGTAGTGGCTCCGCCGGGTGTGCAACCTTAGCAGGGCTGCAGACTTTCAGGGACCCGGGAGCAATGTTTGACGGCCGAGACTCCAGTGTGGCCTGATGTTTTTCGATGGTCCTGAACTCTCTGATCTAGCGGTCAACGATCATAAATAGGTTCCAAAGTTTCTTGGCTGATTAGACAACCTTGGAAGGCACTGTGCTAGAGCTCACCCTAAATCTTACCAAAATATAGAATAGATAGAGACAATCCTATTATACGATATAGGGGCCCATCCAACGGCTTTCAATGATGGAGCTCGAAACAAGTCCGAGTCACACCAGTCTGAAACCTACCTCGGCAGGGAGACGAATGGCAGGACCAAAAGCATCAGACAGCGGTTCCCACTATGGACACATCCGATATCGCCGAAGAAAAAGCCGAAACTCAGTGGGAAATTGGGGAAGATCTAATCTCTCGGGTAGCGGCCTAGTCTATGGACCCATGGTGACGAACACGAGCCAGGTCCATTCGGTCTGTGGCGGTTGTAAATAGTAAAATTCAGGTATAGTAAATAATTTGGGTGAAAAGGATATTTGCATATAAACGGAGGACATGTACTGTATCTCTTGTTTTTTTTTTTTTTTTTTAAAACAAAAAGCATCATACGATGCATATGGAAGCGCGGTTTCCATATAGAGTAAAGTTACAGATTTACAATTTTACAATTTTACAAAGTACAACTTTGAAGTTTACAAAATACCAAGTCATAACAGTGCGTATGCAGGCTCCATCTCGCTAACGACTCGACTAGGCAGGTGACGGAGCTTTAAGAAGCCACTTTTACCTAGTGCGAAATTTCACTCTCATGAAAATTGTATATGGCTTATTGTAAGATATATTATAGTTAAGCCTCCAAAAGGGTTTTCTTGTTGTCTCTTTTTTTTTTAGAAAAAAGAAAAGAGATTTATAAAGGAAAAAAAAAAGTAAAGTAAAAACTGCCAAGTCCGATCAGATAAAAATTTCAAGTTATCTGATCCATGCAGGACCCACTTGGTTTTATCTGATTTGATGTGAGTTTCAACTTTGCACTTCAAGGTGGAGACTTGAAATAAACAAAAATACCAGGCAAATCGATACGAACCTAGTAGACATTCCCAGATACCTTCCATTGGGATCGGCACCGATCAGCACTCGAGTTTCTTCAACATATTATTTGCAATATCATTCTGTCCCGCATTTGCCAAGGAAAGATTTATTAAAAGCTGTTTTTCCCTTACAACTTCCGATCGGATGGTGTGTACGGAGAACTCCGATTTCACCCCACTTGCAGGTCAGGACACATTTCGGTACTTGTTACCTGCCAAGGAGTTTACAGGGATGATCCCAAATGCCTGAAGACATGATGGCAAGACCGCCAGGTTCCTTAGTATGGTGAGTATAAGAAAAGAAATTGAAGATCATTGAATAAGCTTATCATTAACGCGAAGTAAAAATAAATAAAAGAACCTCTAAATACACAGGATGTCTAAATGTTTCACACAGAACAGCGAAGGGAGGGGGAATCATCGAGAGCTGTCTCGCCAGACACAAAAAGAAGTCTCGATCCACTTCCCAAAAGCAAACCGGAGACACCAAACGACGATCATGTCACATTTTGTTTCATACCTTTTTCACAGCATAGCGCGCACCCGGGTGTCCTGCACCAAGGGAGCGCCAGCCAACTGATCCGCAAAGACAGAGCTAACAATCTCGCCGCCCCGTACGGCCAGCACCGACAGCAAAGAATCACTCAGACCGTGGGTCTTCTCGTTGCAACCCTGCAGCCAGATACCAGCCTGGGCACTGACCTTGGCACCGTCCAGAGAAACACGGTAATCACGACCGGGGTTCCAGGCCGATGCGCCGGAGGGCCGCAAGCTGCGTACGTTCTCAAGAAGTCCCTCGTGTGCGTCGCGGAGGTAGCCCGTCGCGACCATCAGGGCGTCAACATCCAGCACTTCCTTGCTCTCGCTCTCATTATTGACTGACTTGACGTGGATGCGCATGCGGCTCGATGCGTTGTGGTGCTCGATCCGAGCCACCTTGGTCTCGGGGAGGATGCGTTGCTGCCATTGTGTCTCGTCTGGGTTCTCTACCCGCTGCAGGTACATATCGTTATAGATGGACTCGATCAGCTCTAGGCGAACCACGCTGTAGTTGGTGGCTTTTTCGATGGCGATGCGCTTCTTGCGCTCCTCGGCACTCATTTCGTAGAACTTGTCGACGCGTTCCGGGTTGAAGATTTCATTCACACTAGAAAAAAAGGTGGGGAAGTTAGCTGGGTTATGATTCTGTAGAGTTGTGTATTTGCGAGTAAACGTACAAGGGAGAGTCATCACTGGGACGCAAAGCGGTATCACGGAGGATAAGGGTGGTGCGCGAATTGGGGTAGCGACGGTGCAGGTCGTGGTAGATTTCGGCGGCACTTTGACCACTGCCAACGACGGCAATGTTGTAAGGGGCCATCTCGTCGTTGAGCATTTGGGGTAGATGAGTGCAGTACTTGGAGGAGTGCATGATGCGGGGATCCTGGGGGAAGCCAGGAGGCATCTTAGCCTTGCCACCGAGAGCAATGACCACCTTGCGGGAGTTGCGGGAGGAGATCTCGCCGGTACCAGTATTGCGCGAGACGACGGTAAAGAAATCGACGACACCACGGGTATTGGTGGGGCCGGGGACGACCTCGACAACCTCCTCGCCGTAGTTGACAACGTTGGCAAAGCGCTGGGCACACCAGCGCATGTAGTCCTCAAATTCCACACGGGCAGGCAGGAAGGTGCCCAAGTTGGTGAAGTGGACGAGTCGGTTCTTATGGTGTAGGTAGTTGAGGAAAGTGAAGCTGCTACGGGGATCGCGCATAGTAGCAAGATCCTTCATGAAGGAGATTTGCATACGCGATCCTGGGACGAGCATACCAGAGTGCCAGGCGAACTTGTTCTGCTTCTCCAGAAAGCAAACCTTGGGATTGAAGTTCGGGTTCTTCAAGGCACCAAGGGCGGGGTCCATGGCGTCATTCAGGGCAATGCCGACGGCAAGTGAAGCTGGACCGAATCCAACACACAGTAAATCATGCATTTCATCAGCGCCAGTTGATCGTAATAGAGACCGAGCTGACTGGGGTTGAGTGCGTGGCACCATGTCAAGAAAGGAGAGCTCCGATTTGCGGGTAACAGACTCCATGATTAAAGTAAAAGGTGAAAAAAAGAAGTGTCTATATACAACCAAAAGAGGAAATCCAAGAGCTTCACGGAGCTTCCAAGCTTCTTCAAAAGGAAAAAAAAAGAGGTACGAAAAAAAAGCAGGGAAGGAAAAAGGCTTTATATGCTTGTCTCTCCGGAAATCTGAGCGGATCAGATAAGTAAGTGGATCCTGAAGGTCTTTGAAGCCCTCGCTTGATCTGTTTTTTTTTTTTCTTTGCCAAGTTTTGGTATTTTTCCTTTTTCAAATTTTATCAATCAGTCTCCACTGGTTTTTTGTTTTTGTTTTTTTTTTTTTTTTTTTTCAAATGGTATGTATACGGGAGTATTATTTCCGATGTCTTCAACGTTTTTATACAATATATATATATATATATATATATATGTATTTTTTGTATTTATATTTATGAAATTTATGAAATTTATAATATTTATAATATTTATAATATTTATATACACATCTACCCTCACTACAAGATAAAAGAAGTTAGAGAATATTCCCTAAAACAAAAAACGCCTTATAGCCGATGTCGGGAAAAATTGGGGATCGGAGATGTACATGCACGTTGCTACTCTTGGCAACGCATTGGACTCGTTTACAGTGGGGGTGTGGCCTGCAGGAAAATTCCTCCGGAGTATAGTGGGTTTGCGGTTTTTCTTTCTACGCTTGGGGCGTTAGTGACAATGACATTATATGCTATTGTAATTTTGTATATTTATGTTATAATACAGTGTTTCAGAATATGGTCTGATCCTTTATAATATAGAAGGTAGATCTATATTATATTATAGAGTACCTAAGGTAGAATATTATAAGGGTAAGGATAAGGATAATGTAGGATAGCGATAACCTTGGGAATGCCCAGGTGTAGGATAAGGATAAAGGCCTTGGAACATATCTCATATATACCTCTACTTCTCTGATCATACGAATCTCTCTATGCCCCTCTATTTACTTTCCTTAAATCCGAAACCCCCCCCCCTCCCTTCAGAAAAAAAAAATAATAACTTGTGGGACTCTTTTTTTTTTTTTTTTCTCTCATGCGCTTGCATATCCTCTTCAGCCACTCACGTTGCACCTAATTAGATCGACTAAGCAAACCCCTCGAGGTATATACTTTACTTTACCTTTGAATATGTATGAGTGAGGGGGATAAAAGAAAAAAACACCTACACACAGGTCATGGACCGATTCACTCAGTTCCCCGCCATCAATGACGATGATGATGTTCACGTTATACCCTGGCAGGTTAATGCCCAACTCCCTACAGACGTATTTGCGTTGTCATGGGCAATCTTGCTACGCGCATTTACAACAGATGAGAACCCGGTTTTTTTATTGAATGGCGTGCCAGTCAAGACAGATCTATTCCTCCGGACGATTCATCCTGCAGAACTGGATGTATCAGACCTGTCAGTCAAATACACAGCCGTAGTGTTGGGAGATCCTCTATTCAACGATGACGAACACCCCCCAGCATTGCGGTGGACTTTGGACCCCGCCACTCAGTTGGGAACCTTGCGTGCGACTGGAGGCATGAATTCCGATTTCCTGTATCAGTTGGGTAACCAGTTGAAGCAGATCGTGCAGGAACAGGCTGCCCAGAAGGGTATACAGGTGACACTGTCTGCCACTGAGGTTCCTGAGTTAGCCATTTCAAACGTCTCCCCCTCCACACTGCCAGGACCTCAACTTCTACATGAGCTTGCCCTGTCGGGGATCAATGATTCAAACCACGCCATTGAATTCCTCGCTGCGGATGGAAACGTTAGTTGCCTGTCGTACTATGACTTGGACCGGCTTTCCTCGAAGCTGGCTAGTAAAATAGCCCGTGCTTCAACAACCCCACAGGGCATACAGAGGGTTGTGCCAGTACTTCTACCCCAGTCTGTGGAATTGTATATTTCATGGTTGGCCATTCTCAAGGCTGGCGCAGCGTTCTGCCCCTTGAACACCGATGCACCAACAGATCGCATCGAGTTTATCCTGCAAGATGTGGCTGCATCTGTGATGGTTACCAATATTGCTCTTGCAACGAGGATACCGCTGAAAGAGCAGATTTCTATCCTTACAGTAGACGATCTTCAAACCAATACCAATATCACAGAGCTATGCCCAAAAAACAGCACTTCTACTGATCTGGCATATGTCATGTACACATCTGGTTCCACGGGTCGCCCTAAAGGCGTCGGCGTGTCTCATCTTGCTGCCACCCAGTCACTCCTTGCTCATGCCGATTTGATACCCCCTTTCAAGCGCTTTTTACAGTTTGCATCTCCCACCTTTGATGTGTCCGTGTTTGAGGTCTTTTTTCCGATGATGCGAGGGTCAACTCTCATCGGCTCCGAGAGAGAGCATATGCTTCTTGACATTTCCCATGTGATGACTATGATGAGAGTAGATGCCGCTGAGTTGACCCCAACCGTAGCAGGAGAGTTGCTGCGCACGCGAGCCGCAGCTCCATCTCTCCGGGTGCTCCTCACAATTGGCGAGATGCTCACCAGACAGGTGATAGACGAGTTTGGCCAGTCTGAGGGCAGAGATGGCATTCTCCATGGGATGTACGGGCCTACTGAAGCAGCCATCCACTGTTCCGCTGCCACCCATTTCCAAACCAAGGACCGTGTCAATATGATTGGAAAGCCATTTAAAACCGTTTCCGCATACATCATGTCACTACCCTCCGATGATCCATCCTCCACGGAGCTTCACCCCCTTTTACTAGGCCAAATTGGAGAGCTTGTGGTGGGTGGTCCTCAATTAGCAGATGGGTATATCAATCGACCCGAAGAGAATGCCAAGGCTTTTATTGACAGTCCGGTGTATGGCCGACTCTATCGCACAGGAGACAAAGCCCGCATACTCCCCACCGGAGAGATTGAGTGTTTTGGCCGAATTTCCAGCGGCCAGGTCAAACTGCGCGGCCAGCGAATAGAGCTTGGCGAGATCGAGCATGTTATCACTAGAGCCGCTGGTGTCCGCAGTGTTGTAACTATAGTAATTGACGGGAACTTGATTGCCTTTGTTCTGGTTACCGACAAAGAAACGACAGACAGCAGTCTCCGAGATGTCTGTCGTCAGCTGTTACCTCGGTTCATGATTCCTGGAGAATTCGTCCTCGTCGACCAATTCCCCCAACTTCCCTCGGGCAAGATCGATCGTAAAACACTAGAAGTTGATTTTATTCGTCACCGAAACACCATTCAGGCTTTTGACGATCAACCCTGCCGAGATGAAAAAGAAGAGTCTATCGCTTCAAGTGTGGCTGATGTGCTAGGTCGACGACTCTCCTCGACAGAGAGTCTGACAGCAGCAGGCCTTGATTCGCTGGCAGCAATCCGTCTAGCATCTCACCTCTTGGATGCGGGAATTTGCTTAGGTGTGGCTACCTTGTTGGAGGTCGACTCAGTGGACAGAATCTGGCAGCTTGCCACTAGCCTTGAAGCAGCGAGCCCGAGTGACGATACTCAGGCAGCACTTCAGACTGTTTTGCAGCTTATCTCAAATGCAGGTGCAGCAAGGGTCGACTCGCTGGGTTTGAGCGAGCAGGTTTCGGACATCGTACCGTGCAGCCATATCCAACAAGCTATGATTTTGGAGACCGTTCGAGACAATAAGGCATACTGCAACTGGGTTGAGCTGGAATTCGAGCCTTCGGTCAATTTAACTTCGGTAAAGAATGCTTTCCGGCAACTGATCGACCGCAACGAGATCCTGCGGTCTGGGTTTGTGGAAATCGGCATCAAAGATCACTCATATGGTCGTTTCACATGGAATACCCTTGACGGGCATGTTTTAGTAAAACAGGAGCTTGACTACGATTTGGGCTTGCGTGCGGCTCATGATGTCTTGAACCCCTTCCGAGTCCAGATCAAGGAAGAGAAGGATCATCTCCGCGTGCTGGTGCATATCCATCATGCACTCTACGATGGATGGTCTTGGCAACTTATGCTGAAAGATCTCAGGAGTGCCTTGTCTGGAGAGGAGCTTACTTCTAAGCCTTCATATAATGTCGTCACAAACTTTTTCATTGAGTACAGACTTGATAAATCGGCAACAGAATCCTCGGCCTACTGGCGTGATCAATTACAAGGATTTTATCCTGCACATCTCCCCAATTTCCATGGAAATTCAGCTATTGTACAGGCTACCGATAAGGCTACTCGTGTGCTGGACATATCTATGTCAAAGCTTAATGATGTTTCCCAACATCTTCGTGTCAGCCGACAAACCATTTTTCAAGCTGCGTTTTGCTATATTCTCTCCTCCTACATCGGAAAGGGAGATGTTACCTTTGGAACCGTTTTTTCAGGCCGGACTCTTCCCTTGAAGGGAATCGAGACTGTTCTCGGGCCCTGTATCAGAACTCTGCCTACACGCATAAACCTTGATGAAATGCAAAATGTGACCGACCTCCTCTTGGCCATCCAGAACATGAACCTCAAGTCGCTTGAGCATGGCAGTCTTCCTCTCCAGGATATCAAGAAAGCTTCTGGTATCGACCTGGATCGTAGTCTCTTCGAGACTGCGTTCGTGTGGCAGGAAAGCATTTGGTCGGATGATGACCAGGGCTTGGGGTTCTGGGAAGTTGGAGCAGGGGAGTTCCTAGAATTTGCACTTTTGCTGGAGTTTGAGCCGCGGGAAGAAAACATCTTTGCCCGGGCAACTTACCAAAATTCGGTGCTACCATTTGAGCAAGCTATGATACTTCTTGAGCAGATTGATTCCGTGGCTTCGATATTGATTGATAAGATTAATCTTCCAATCCAGAAGATCTCATCATATCTTCCCTCGTCAACGTTGTCTATTCAACATGCAGCATCGCCCGAGAAAGTTGATCTACCAAGCTTGGCATCCAGCGTCCAGATGATTGCATCTACAGACCCAGACCGGGTAGCCGTTGAGCTGATGCTCTGTGATTCAGAAACTTCTGCTCCATTGGTCGAAAGCATGACCTACGGCCAACTAAACTGCCGAGCCAACGGCTTTGCACATCTTTTGCTCCATGTCGGAGTGACGAAAGCCGATCTAATACCCATTCATCTCCCGCCGTCCCTTGACTTCTATGTTGCTGTGCTTGGAGTTGCCAAGGCCGGTGCTGGTGTCCTCCTACTTCCCCAGGCCTCTTCACAGATGATCCACTCCATTATCTCCATTGCGAAATCCAAGTTCTGCATCGTTGATCCGGTGACGGAAAAGAATCGTTGCTTAGATTCTTTGAAGTCCGTCCTGCTGATTCACCTCTCTTATTCGCTGGATATTTATCGTGATTTCAATATTCCTTATACGAATGAAGGTTCTGATGTTGCCTATGCTGAAGTGACGGTAATTGAAAATGGACTGATGGAAAACATCATCATCTCACGCCAAAATCTGCAGAGCAGTATCAATGCTCTTTCAGACTTGTATCCAACGCCCGCCGGGTCGAAAATGTTATCATGTCTCCAGGAATCAGGTGGTAAGTCCCGTATCAAATTTTGATATCTAGATTATCTCTCTAACGATATCACAGCATCAATTTGCCAGACATTCTTCGCTTGGCACACTGGCATGACGTTGTGCTCAGCAACAGACGTAATCATGATGACTCGCATAGAGCAGGCCTGTAAAGACATGAACATAACGCACCTTCACTTGCCTCCCATGCTGGTCTCCCGTATTGATCCACAAGCTGTTCCCAGTGTGCAATGTCTCCTCTCCTCGGGCGAAGCGATGACCCCCAATCTCCATCGCAATTGGGCAGGCAAAGGTCTCCATCAAGCATACAGCAACCGTGCATTAACTCACGTGTGTACTCTTTGTCCCAATATGCAAGCATCAACCTATGTTAGAAACATTGGTAAACCCCTGAAGAACACATCTGCAATGATTGTGACAGACGGAGATTCACTCGGTCTTCTTCCACGCGGGGCCATTGGGGAGTTATGCTTTGGCGGAGATCAAGTTGGGCGATGTCTACCCGACTCCGGGGCATTAGTGACTGGACGATTCGTTGACCATCCTGAACTCGGTCGAATATATAGAACGGGTGATTTTGGAAGGCTGCTTCCTGATGGTACACTCATTCTCTCCCGAATCCCCGACATTGCACAGTCGTATTCTTCATCCATTGACCTTGATATGGTTGATTGTGCTCTTATGTCTTTGGAAATGGTCCAAGAATCAGTGAGCATGGTTTTGAATGACCCAAAACTACTAGTAGGTCAACAGGGACCACTGGCAGTATTTTGGGTTTCTTCAACGAAATGCTCGGATTCTGTGCAAATCGAGGCAGCTACGAATAATCTTTTCAAGGAGCTCACGAAGAAACTTTCTTCTTCTAGCCTTCCGTCGCTTCTTGTTCTCGTGGATGCGATAGATCTCGACATATCTTACAAGACTGATCACTTTATGCTGAGGCAACGGCTAGAGCAATTGACAACAAAAGAGCTTGCGGTATTTTCGCCAAAAATAAATGCCGATAGTACTGGTGACAGTTTCAGTGAGCTTGAGAAGAGCATGTCTACCGCATTATCGGCAGTTACTGGCACCGACCAAAGGTACATCCGCAAACACACCTCGTTTTACAGACTGGGTTTAGACTCTCTTTCTGCCATTTCTTTCTCACGGAAGCTGCAGGAGTCTGGATGTGGAAGGATTTCTGTGTCCACAATCCTACGCCATAGCTCCATTGCTCAACTAGCAGCTCTAATTTCTGCCACAACCGACAGGCACAAGTCCGAACAGGCTGTGGTGCCTGTTCCACCAATTATTTTCGACGAAAATTTCACTCATCAAGTAGAAGATGAATTCAATGCTGCAGCCATAACTGTTCAAAGCATTTACCCTTGCACTCCACTCCAGGAGGCTATGCTTGCAGCTGAGTCTGGTGGTCATTCAGCCTATTTCAACCACCTCCTGCTTCTTGTGCACACCGATGCGGAGGCCATGAAAGCAGCATGGACTAAAGTGATGCAAAGACAAGACATCCTTAGAACCTGTTTCGTGCAAACCAATCATAAGCGGTTCGCGTATGCTCAAGTTGTACTGGATACATTGGTCTTACCATGGTCTCATATTGAAACTTCTTCTTCCGAGCTTGCGAATGTCATCAAAGAGAGCAAATCCAAGTTTGAGGGTCGTTCTCCTGTCAACGGCCAGTTTCCATACTCGCTAACTTTCATAACCGACTCTAATGCGCAGAAGCAGAAGACACATCTTCTGATATCCATTCACCATGCTCTGTATGACGGAGAAGGCATCGCCCAGTTATTGCACGAGCTCCAGCTGTTGCTATCAAATCAAGAATTGCCATCAAACGCTCCATTCCGCAGCTTCATTGATTACATGACCTCTCTTGATTATGGCTCGTCGGACGAATACTGGGACGAGTACTTGTCTGGTGTCTCACCAACCCTCCTTCTCACATCTGAGCCCACAGTCAACGCAGATGAGTCGACATCACAGCAAATCCATACATCCCTACATGGCTCTCTCATATCGTTCAAGCAACAATGCAAATCCCTCTCTGTAACCCCTTTGAATATCTTCCACGCTGCATGGGCCAGAATGCTCTCTCTATATACCGATTCCTCCGACGTCTGCTTCGGTAATGTGTTCAGCTGCAGAACCGTTCCCCTGGATGGCGCAGATCGGATAGTTGGCCCTTGCTTCAACACACTCCCAATTAGAATCAAGCGCTCCTCGACTGCAACGAATAGCGACATTATGAAATTGTCCCAACAGAGCAATAGCGATATTTTGCCTCACCAACTAAGCCCTCTACGACGTATTCAACGGCGTGCTCTTGGTGATGGCTCTCGCCTCTTCGACACGCTGGTCATTTTCCAGAACAGAAATACAGACCTCGATTGCACTGTCTGGGAACTTCTTCAAGACGAAGGAAACATGGGATTCCCCTTGATCTGTGAGATCGTTCCCCACGAGTCTGCCGACAACATCCAGATCTGCCTCCACTTCCAAGTATCGCATATCTCGGAAGCCGTGGCTGAGACCATTGCGCGGGACTTTGTGGCCCTTGTTGAACACATCACTCAATATCCATCTGGTCAGGCATCCGATAAGCGACTATTAGGGCCAGACATTCCTCGAGTCTTCCAACAGGAGGTATCCAGAACGACAAACTCGGTCCAGGTCTTGACAAAATCTCGGCAAAAGCGCCCCTGGTCATATCAGGAGGAGATTATTCGCGGGATTCTTTGCAAATTCACTGACGTCAGCTCGGACAATGTATCTCAGGATACGACGATCTTCCAACTTGGCCTGGATAGTATCAATGCTGTGCAGGTATCATCCAAGCTGCGCGGATTAGGTTATAAGATCTCATCTGGTGATATTCTCGAGGTATGTCATAGGTCTGGGTTTACTTGCTGACCATGAATCCTATTTTCTGGTTACTGACTTGTATCAGGCTGCCTCTATTGATCAAATTGCTTCTCTTCTTACTTCCAGTGCGAAGGTTGCTGAGGAAATGGAGTTTGACTTTGAACTTTTCCAAACTCATCACTTGCAATCTGTTTGCGAACAACTTAATATTTCTTCGCAAGCAATACAGTCTCTTCGCCCTTGTACGCCAGTTCAAAATGGAATGCTGGCGATGTTTACACATTCCCATGGTTCTGTGTACTTCAATCGAATGACATTGAGATTCTCAGCACCTTTGGATAAGAAGATTTTGAAAGAAGCATGGTGTAAGGTTATGGCTCAGCATGAGATGCTTCGAACCGGCTTCGTCCAATTACGCGATCAGCAGTATCCTTTTGCTATGATAACTTACGATAAAAATATCAAGGTACCATGGTGTGAGACCTTGACTTCCATGACAGACACTCCTGATGTTCAAGAAAAGCATGCTTTGGAAAATCTCCATCAGCCCCCATGGAGCATTGAAGTCGAGGCAGGCGACAATATCAGCCTCATGCATTTCTCTGCGTTACACGCCATTTACGATGCTCAGTCTTTGGCTACCATATTTGCAGATGTCAGAGCAGCATATGATGGAAAGGTCCTGACTACACCGTCCCCAGTCACCGCAACTCTTGGTCCTATCCTCCTTGAGAGCAGCAGCCAGAGCGAATCTGCACAATCCTTCTGGAAAGAACTGGCCCCAGAAGTGCAGCCCTCGAAATTTCCCGACTTGCATCCCATCCGCACAGGTGACCGTACATTACTCACCACCTCCATCCATTGTTCACAGCCTCGCAAGGCCCTTGAAGATGCCTGTCGAGATATCGGTGTGACGCTACAAGCAGCAGGGCAAGCCGCGTGGGCTCGCTTGTTGTCTGCATACACGGGCGAATCCAGTGTCACATTCGGAACCGTGCTATCAGGTAGGAATTTATCTTCCGCTGCTCAGCATGCGGTATTTCCCTGCTTGGTCACTGTACCAACGCCTCTGCGTATCGAGGGATCCAACCGACAACTTCTGGACCTCACGTTGAAGCGGAACGCTTTGTTGATGAAGAATCAGTTTGCACCTCTATCGCAAGTCCAGCGTTGGCTGGGTAGCGATGAGCCACTCTTTGACACGCTGTTTGTCTATCAGAAGTTTACTTCTGACGCTGTTGGTACTACTATGTGGGATATCATTGACGAGGAGACAAAAATTGATGTAAGCACAATAAGCATACAGACCGGATATTTCATAGATTTGCAGGACTTAGGCTAACATTCTACAGTATCCTGTCTCTATCGAGTTAATTCCCCACTCGACAGATCTTCAGATCTCGTTGAGCTACAGGGGCGATCTTGTCCCCATGGAACAAGGAACTATCCTCCTGAGTCAGTATGAAAAGTTCTTGCAGGATACTGTATTCTATCCAGATGCCGATTCCACCCATCACGGGCCTGTGGGTAACAGTCTGCTATCTATCACGCCTGCCAAAGAAGCGCCAATTCCTACCACAGTATCTTTGTTACATCAATTCGTCGAAGGGAACGCGCTCAAGATTCCTGAGAAGACTGCGTTCGAATTTGCTTCCGGCGACACCGCGGATAGCCTCCGCAAGAAGGCTTGGACTTACCGTGAGTTCAATAAATGTGGCAATAAAATTGCGCATTTACTGCTGGCAAAGGGAGCTGTTCCTGGTGGAATTGTGGGGATATGTTTTGACAAGTGCCCTGAAGCTTCCATGGCGATTCTGGGTATCATGAAAGCCGGATGTGCATATTTGGCCATTGACCCCGGCGCTCCTATTTCTCGCAAGCAGTTTATGTTAGATGATTCTGGTACCAAGATCCTACTCTGCAATCAATCAAAGATGGCCGAATTGGAGGGCCTCCCGGCTGTTGACCTTCAGGCACTTGATGAACCTGGGATACTTGATGGGGTCTCAACAGGCGATGTCTCACTCTCCCGCCCAATTCGGTCAGATGATACTTGTTATTGTCTGTACACATCTGGTACGACCGGAACACCGAAGGGCTGCGAGATCACCCACGATAATGCAGTTCAAGCAATTCTGGCATTCCAACGATTGTTCACAGGACATTGGGATGAAGACTCTCGGTGGTTGCAATTTGCCTCCTTCCATTTCGACGTCAGTGTTTTGGAACAGTACTGGAGCTGGAGTGTTGGAATTTGCGTCACTTCCTGTCCACGAGATCTACTGTTTGAGGACCTGACTGGAACTATACAAAAGCTTCAAATTACGCATATTGATCTAACCCCCAGTTTAGCAAGACTAGTCCATCCCGACGAAGTCCCGTCCCTTTGCCGGGGAGTATTCATCACCGGCGGAGAGGCGTTGAAACAAGAGATCCTCGATGCCTGGGGCAAGCATGGCGTTATATACAATGGATACGGGCCTACTGAAGTTACTATCGGATGTACTATGCTCCCAAGGATGTCTGCCAACGATAAAGCCTCAAACATCGGGCCCCAGTTCGATAATGTGGGGTCGTATGTCTTCAGTCCCGGTACTACAACACCTGTCCTACGCGGTAGTATAGGTGAACTTTGCGTATCTGGGCCTCTTGTTGGAAAGGGCTACCTGAACCGAGCGGAGCTCACCAAGGAACGATTCCAAGAGCTCCCCGAATTCGGCGATCGCATATATCGCACAGGCGATCTTGTGAGGATTCTACATGATGGGAGTTTCCAGTTCCTTGGTCGTATCGACGATCAGGTCAAGCTCCGTGGACAGCGACTTGAGATTGGAGAAATTAACGAGATCATCAAACAAGCCACGCCTGAGTTGAACGAAGTCGCTACCCTGGTGATCACGCACCCCAAACAATCTAAGGACCAACTTGTCTCCTTTTTCACGACTATCGCTGCAGATAAGAAAGCTCGTGCTGTTAACGTTGGAGTCCGATCTTCAGAAGATGATCGCGCCTTGCTGTCGAAGATTAAGGGCGCTTGCCGCACTCATCTTCCCGGGTATATGGTGCCTACACATATTATCCCGATGACCCGCTTCCCACTCTCTGCCAACAACAAGGCGGACATGAAAGTCTTGAAGAGTATCTATCAAGAGCTTTCTCTAGAGGATATTCAGAAACTAAGTTCAATGAGTGTTGGCCAGCCTGCTGACAGTGTCCAAGAACAGAAGATCATATGTGTTCTGGCGAGGTTTATTGATTCTTCTGAAGGGGAGATCTCGTCGCGTTCTAGTATCTACGAGCTTGGTTTGGATTCTATATCTGTTATTGCTTTCTCGAGAAGTCTCCGGGAGGCTGGATTTTCTCATGCTCAACCATCGATCATCATGAAGTGTAAGGCTGACGTTCCAGGTGTTGATTGAGAATAGACTTTGCTGAACAATTCACAGATCCTACAATTTCCGGAATGGCCTCTGCCCTACAGCTGCCTATCTCATCTTCTGTGTCCATCGAAACCATCCAACGAAATGCCAAGCAAGGCATCGAGGCATTCGCTCACAAGAATTCCTACACCATCATCGAGCATATTGGAGCCATCAACGATAATATCGAAAAGATCGCGCCCTGCACCCCGCTCCAGGAGGGTATCATATACCACTACCTGTCGAGCAGCACACCATTATACTGCTCATCATTCACTTTCGAGCTCGACCCTTCCGTCAACCTCGAGAATTTATACGCAGCTTGGGATCAGGCCCAGAGAGAAGTTCAAATGCTGCGTGCCAGATTTTTGCCATCTTCAGACGGCTACGCCCAAGTTATCATGAGAAAAGATGCGCTGCCTTGGTTCCTTACTACTGTCGGCACCAAAGAGGAGATTGATGCCTTGCGCGAACAACGACATGCACGCTGGACCAGCCAGCTCGACGGTCTTTCGTCCAATCTATGGGAAGTCGGAGTCATATCTTCCCTCGAGACATCGGTAATGTGCCTGAACATATTCCATGCTCTCTATGATGGAAATAGCCTGGTCCTGCTCCTCGAATTGGTTGCCCGAAATTACCTCGGCCAGAGCAAGATTTCGCAGTCAATCCCGGAGTTCCTTGACGTATTGCACTTGGGTCCCCTTTGTAAAGACCCTGCCGCAGAGTCATTCTGGAAAGAGCATCTTGTCGGCTGCCATAATCGACCTTTCGCCGAGAATGGGCAAGTAGACAGCGCGCCAATTTTACTCAAAGCTCAAATCAATCTGACAGAGCAGGTCGACCATCTTCGCCGGTCTCTCAATGTTACAGAACAGGCCGTTCTCCATGCCTGTTGGCTTCTCACTCTTCAACAGCAATACTTATTCGTGCCACCACTTGGTATTATTGCCTCGGGCAGGACAATCGATGTACCTGGCATTGACAACGTTATTGGACCGCTGTTCAATACCATCCCTAGCAACGTTCAGCTGCATGGCTTGGAGTCTTGGTCTGATGTCGCTCGCCGCTGCCATGACTATCACGTGTCCATCCTCCCGTTCCAATATACAGCCCTGAGGGACATTGTGAAATGGCTTGGGAAAAGCCCCGACGAGCGAATTTTCAACTCTTTGTTTGTCTTCCAGAGGGAAGCTGATAACGATGAATCGTTCACAAAGGATCTTTGGCATACACTCGACTCAGAGGCCCAGCATGAGTATCCTCTGGCATTTGAGATTGTGCGCAATAGCCAATTCCTGACGGTTACCATTGCCACAAAGAGCCATGTTGTATCATTGGAGGATGCTCAGCAGATGTTGTTTAAATTCGAGCAAATCCTTTCTGAGTTTGCACAAGACCCCAACAGAGAGTTGCCCAGGATGAACGGGGGCTCTATCAAACAAGTTGTGACGAACGGTGATATGAATGGTCACCAGGAGACTCTGAAAACACAAGTACAAAGCAATGTTGAACATACCAAAGACTCTTTGTTTGAATGGACCTCCCAGGCTTGCAGAATTCGCGACGTGATTGAAACCCTTGCCGGAGTGGAGTCACAATCAATCAGTGAGAACACATCAATCTTTGAGGTTGGACTTGATAGCATCGACGCAATCAAGATCTCCTCGCGGTTGAGCAAAGTCGACATCAAACTTCCTGTGAGCTCCATCATGCGCCATCGCACAGTTAAGGCTATGAGCGAACAGCTCTCAATGACAAATGGCCATATCAAAGACGGGACATTGCCATTGCTCAACCATCTAGAGAAATCGTTGGCCAAGTTCCTCAGCACCGAAGGTCTTCTCCCTACGAGCGTGACTCGCATCCTACCAGCTACACCTATCCAAGAAGCTATGGTAGCAGAGATGTCTGCCTCTAGGTACGAACATTATTACAACCATGAAATCCTCGCGGTAGAGCCTGATGTGGACATCGAAAGGATGGAGCGGGCATGGAGAGCTGTCGTTAAAGCCAACCCTATCCTCCGTACTTCATTTATTGAAATCTGGGATCCGCAGATTCCTGTTTCATATGCCCAAATAGTTCATGACGAGGATCGAGTTGATCTCCAGACTGTCTATCTGCACGGAGTCTCCGTGGAATCCATTATAGAGACTCAGCGGTCAAGGATCCGCAATGAGCTGGCGGGCTACCCCTTGCTCTCTCTCACCATTGCGGTGGACGGAGCTAAGCGGCACCTTGTTTTGTCGATTGCGCATGCTCTCTATGATGGCTGGTCAATCAATCTGCTGCATGAAGATGTTGCCAAATCCTATGCTGGTGCAGAGTGTTCACGGCCTCCGGCTGATGACATTCTCGAGCACATTATTGCCTCATCTGGCGACGAAGCACTCCGGTTCTGGCGAGCAACGCTATCCAACTTCACCCCGGTGTCGTTCTCGCCCATGGAGCACGCTGACAATAGCTCGGCTATCGTTCACCGAGCAGAACAATCGTTATCCGTTTCACTGCCCAAGGCAGAGGCGTTCTGCAAACGCCATGGCGTTACTATCCAGGCCCTTCTTATCGGCTGCTGGTCTCTTGTTCTTGCCACGTGTGTCAAGAAGCTAGATGTGGCATTTGGGCTTGTCCTTTCTGGTCGGAACGTGGCTGACTCTGAGCATGTGATGTTCCCAACCATGAATACTGTGGCCATGCGAGTTATTCTTCACGGTACGCGCATAGAATTGGTGAGGTATGTGCAGGAGGCTCTCTTGTCGATGTCGGAGCATCAGCATTTCCCGCTGCGGCGTGCCAGACCAGATACGGGATCGCGGGCGTTGTTTGATACGCTTTTCATGTATCAAAAGAGACCGGTGGAAAATGTCCAGACTGGGTCGGGGCAGGTTTTGTATAAATCTATTGGTGGAGCGGCCGATGTTGAGTACCCTGTTTGCGCTGAAATTGAAGGTGTTGGGGAGGATCTGATTGGGCGGGTTGCGTGTCGTGGAAATGTTGCTGGGGACCAAGATACTCTTGCCCTATTGGGGCAGATGGGCGATATCCTTTCGTCTATAATTGATAGCTCATCCGAACAGACTGTCGAATTCACCAGCGAAGGAGTGAAGATTTGTGGAAGGGCAGCTTTCCGGGATGGGTCTGGACACGATATCGGGGCTGATACGGTGCCCCGGAGACTTAATCACGCACGGTGGTTGCCCATTGAATCAAAGATCCGCGAGGTTCTTTCCATTACATCTGGGGTACCTGAAAACTCTATTGACAAGAGCTCCACGGTCTTTGAGCTTGGCCTGGACAGTATCAGCGCCATTAAGGTGGTTGCACTCCTGAAGAAGCATTCCATCAAGCTCGCGGTGAGTGATATGCTTCGGGCTGGTACCATCGAAAACATGGCCAAAGCAGCCAACAGCAACGAGACGGAGCTTTCACTCACAAACATCTCGAGCGTTCTCCACGAGTCACTCGATGGCATCGGTGTTATGGAACTGCTCCAGTCGCACGATATTGATTCACAGCGGGTGCGGAAGATATTCCCTGCAACTGCAGGACAGACCTATTTTCTCTCAATGCACATCCTGAATCCCGAGGTATTCTATCCTAAGTTCTACTATGTGACATCACAACAACTGAGCCCCGAGGTACTGGATCGAGCCTGGGGTCGGGTTATAGACCAAACCCCAATACTTCGAACAGCATTCGTCCCCACTGCCAACTCTCGGTTAGTGCCATATGTGCAGATCGAATTTGAGGCTGTGCAAATTCCTGTGGTCTGGCATTCCAGGTTTGATCGACATCTTGTTTCAGCACGTCTTAAGCAAGAATTTGGGGCAGTGCCGGTCGCACTACATGCCTGTCAAACAAACAAGGGAACGGCGCTTATTCTGCACATCCACCATGCACTGTACGATGCTGTCAGTCTATCCCATATCCTAGACAGACTTGTTGCACACTGCAGCCAAGAGGAGGTTGCCAAGCCAAATCCCGACCTTGATCTTTCACAGCTTGTGGCATTCCAGTATATTCATTCGCCCGTGGATGTCCGGCGGCAATTCTGGCAAAAGTATCTAGGGCAATTCCCAACTGGGGTAAAAATAGGGGATGACTTCGGCACTGTACAACATCACTATCGACCGGGGCTGGTTTCAAATATGGCCAGTGTCGAAAAGGTTGCTAAGCGCCAGGGCATTAGCATCCAGACCGTCTTTTTGGCAGTCTATGCTCGAGTGCATTTGCAGGGATTCGGTGCAGCTAAAACGGCCGACGCAGGGTCTCACGGGCGGTTAACTGTTGGACTGTACCTTGCCAATCGATCGCATTCCATCGAGGGTCTAGCCGAATCGGTGATTCCCACCGTTAACATTGTTCCACTACGACTGGATGATAAACTCAGCCATTCCGACGACACGCTCCTTGATGCCGCCCGCAGAATCCAAACTGAAATCAATGAGATCAGCCGACCAGAATATTCGGGTGTTTCTCTCGTGGAAATTGCCGAATGGACAGGCGTCCGAATCGACACTTGCGTCAATTTCCTACGACTTCCTGAGCAAGAATTGAAAGCAGCCAAGACTCCATTTTCTCTCACGGCAATTCAACGCGAGGAGTTTGAAGATCTTAGCGGGGTCCCAGTTTCGGAGAAGGTCCCAATAGAGATTAATGATTTAACGCCACCGGGTGCAGTCGAAACAAGCCCCAAGCATCCAAGCGCCTCAAAGGTTACTCACCCCATTTTTCAGGTACGTGGATGAATGCATATCACTTCTGCTTCTAACGGTGATCGAGCCTTATGCAATTGCTTACATTTCCACAGCCTACGATTGACGTGGAAGCCGCCATCCGCAATGGGCGATTAGATTTTGGGCTCTTCGCACCGGCACCCCGTCTTGACCGGGAGACAGCGGAGACTGTGATCGATGCCATGCGACGAGAAATGTCTAAATTGGTGACAAGCTTTGAATCAATGTAGAATGTAGCGATGCTAGGGGTGGAAAATAGAAGAATATGGGTTGGAGTATGGAGTATAATAAGATTTTCATATATTCTTTGATCTATTTGCTATCTTTGTGCATATGAGGCGTTGGACTTCTTTTTTTTTCTTTTTTCCCTATCTGATTGGCGGGACGGAACGGGCCTGGGGATCTTTAGAACTGCCGTATATAAAATAAATAATATAAGGCATGTTAACAGTATCAAAGAAGATCACTTTATAGAGTCTCTTATAGTACTCCGTATATATATTATTGTTTCAGGTTCGTTTTGCTTATATTCCCCCCTTGTCGCCATTCCGAGAATAGGCTGGATGAATCAGATGTGAGAGGCAGTGCAAAAGAGGGCAGTTTTAAGCAAGGGGGATTTCGCGTGGCCTATTTGAACTGTTCTTTTTTTTTGTCCTTTTTTTTTGTCTTTTTTTCCTTCCTTTTTTTTGATAATGACACAGTATGGAGTAAGTACAACAGAGTAGTATTCCAAAGAATTATAAAAAACAAAAACAATAATATGTGTTTTTTTTAAAAAAAAAAAAAGATGGCAGAAATGTACTCCATAGAGATAGCAGAGATACGGGGTACCCCTCCCTTTGGCCATGCAAATAGATTTTCCTTATGATCTAATGGGCTTAGATATAGTATTATAATATTATAATATTATATTTTATCTGATATTATTATTACTATTATCACTATTATCACTATTATCACTATTATCACTATTATTTTATATATAATATAGTCAACAATATTCAATTGTTTGCTTACCTAATATTTGTTGTCACAATCACGCGTCAGACTAATCCATATCGGGTCATCGAACGATCAACAACGCGACTGCGCGTTAATCGTTTTGGACTTCATTTTCTATAACCTCACCTGAACACAACCTGAACTTCTTCTCTTCTTTTGAATAAAACATTCTTAATATCCTGTCCAAGTGTTCTAAACACTACTCTTCGATCCTTGGACACGGGCTCACATACCGATACCCAACCCCTCCTCGATTCGCCCTCGTGGGCTGACCTTACATTGAACTTCACACCCCTTGAATCTTTTGGATTCACCTTCCACAAGTTCAAAACTGAAACAATCCTATCATATCTGGTATCTTCAGATATCAAACGTCTGTCCCCATCTATAGGGGAGAGGTTGAAATTCTTTGGAATCCGCGATGGAAGTGGTGTGACTCGACTTGCCACTCGCACCTGCCTTTGGACATTCCATTCCCGTGCCTTCCTTGGATATCATAATCCTTTGATATCCTTTTCGACTGTTTTCCTTTTCTAGACGCGTTGTTGATTTGAACGCGTCTTGACTCTCTAAAATCTCAAATCTCTTCTAGATTTCCTATCTCAAGAGCGCATTTAGTGACGCACTCTCTTCATTCTACATTGCACGGCACACTGACACATTCCCCGATAATGGTTGCAACCTTTTCGCCGCACCGGGACTCCGGTGGCACACTTCATCTGCCATCGCACTCGGGAATCCATCACGTTGACGCCAGCTCTGCTATCCGCCAACTGAGGCGCTCACTTTCGCGCTCCCCTTCTAAGAGTTCCAACTTCTTCCTCAACCCGCGTACTCATTCCCCTTCCAAATCCGCCTACATCTCTTCTCCTTTGTCGCCCTCGCGACGCGCCTCGCAGAACAATTTTGTTCTCTTCCCATCTCAGTCGCATCAATCGCAATCGCCTCTCGCTGTCCCTTACCCTCCCAGCGCGAAAATTAGTAGGCCGGTCATGCGTCGACGCACATCACCCCGCAGTCCGGCCAAACGCGTGTTGAGTGTTTCGACCGACAGCGGTAACGCGACTCCTACCCAACCCATCTCTTTACCCTCGGGTGAAGAAAATGATTTGACTCTCGACGACCTTGCGCCTCAAAGTACCACCCCAGACAGTCCTTGTTTTCTTAACACTCATTCTGCGCCTTTGGGCGAATCGACTTTTGCGCGATCAACACTCTCGCGTGTTGAAAAACGACGTAGTGGGACCTTTGGTAGCTTTGCGACTGGCAGTCCCTTGAAGCGCAGCGACGGGATTATGAACTTGGACCAAGCATCACGAGGCAGCCCTTCTGCAAAGCGACGCAGCGTGCACACGCCGACTTTCGCAGCCGAATTTAGCATTTTCGATAATGAGGTCGAGAATACCACACCAGAGGGGTCCCCAACACGGAACGAAATCCCCTCTTTCCCCACGCCTGTCCAACCCCACAGTCCATTTGCGACGATTCCTAAACGCTCATCTTCTCTACGACGCTCGACCTTACAGCAGCGCGGCGACCGACCTCTCTTTGGGCGACCGAGAGCCATCGATTCACCCGATGCATCACCACCTGATACACCATTGTCTGTTAGGCCGCGAATGTCATTTGACAGCAGCCTATTCCAGCCAGGCGGCGAAAACATCTTCTCCCCCAGGCCGCCAGCCAGCCCTCTTTTCTCCAACTCCCCCGCCAACGCTCCCGTCAACCCTATTGCCAATACCACTCAACCTCCTCGACCCGCTGCTCATCCTCTCTCTCGTACTATCACTCAATCATCTTCTGGATCTAGTCTCGAAGACTCGCCCACCCATGAGCCAGTTCACAAGCCTGAGGGCCGACGAACAATGTTCAACTTCTCCAAATCTCTCCCTGCCGGGGCAACTCGCCCTGCCCCTGTGCGTCAGATCGCACGGGAAGATGCAACAGAAACATTTGCTACTCCAGATAACTTCCGGTTGGTCAAGCCTTTGCCGGCGGCATTTATGTCCACTGGACTGATCTCCAAGAAAAATCGCAACGCTGAGGAGAACCCCGGATTTAACAAGAGCATGCCCGACACACCGTGTAAGCGACCTGTCAATCTTTTCACCGCTGGGCCAAACCCCACAGATCGACTGTTCGACAAGTCACGTCTGGTTCATCAATCGGACGCTGCTTCCGCATCTCCGTTCAACCCACCTACTACCTCGCGCCCTAAGCCAAGTCCCTTCGCTCGGGGCATGGGGATCTTCGGTAGCAACTTCAATCGTCCCGAGGCCTCGCGGCGTGGAAGTTTCGCTAGCATCGATGGCGATGAACTGATTCTCGCCCAATCGCCCTCTTCCCGACATGACAGCCAGCCCCTCAATGATGACTTCCCTCCCACGCCGACCAAGCAGCCTTTCCTCCCCTCTCGCACCTACCCTCCCACGACTTCTCAAATCCCCTCTCTAGAACGACTATCTGACACAGCGAGTCCGCTGCATGAGAAGCTCTTGCAGGCATCACCTCACACTCCCCGCGACCAGTACTTCCCTCCCGACCCGAGTGGCCTATCGATTTCCGTGCCAAGTGATCATCAGCATGCGCAGGAGCATGATCTTCCAGCCACTCCCACTGGACCGCGAGATTCTTGGTCATCATTCAGGCGTCCCAGTCTCCAAATCAGCGGTTACCATGTTCCAGATGTCGACCCCACTTTGACATCCCGTTTTGACAACGTGGAGCTTATTGGAACTGGCGAATTCTCTCAGGTCTTTCGCGTCGCGCAGCCTCATGACGCATCCTTCCCATCTGTGTTCTCTCTTCCATCAAGCGAACCAAGGTCGCCAACTTCCCTCCCCCATCAGGTGTGGGCTGTCAAGAAGAGCAAGCAGCCCTATCTGGGGTTGAAGGATCGCGAGCGTCGTATTCGCGAAGTCGAAGTTCTGAAGACTTTGACGAACTGTGACCATGTTATTTCCTTTATGGACAGCTGGGAGAACAACGGCCATCTGTACATTCAAACGGAGTTCTGCGAAGAGGGTAGCCTGGATGGTTTCTTGGCCCAAGCCGGACTTAAAGCCCGACTTGATGACTTCCGTATCTGGAAGATTTTGCTCGAAATGTCTCTAGGACTTAAGCAGATCCATGACGAGGGATTCATCCATCTTGACTTGAAGCCTGCTAACATTCTGGTCACCTTTGAGGGTACTTTAAAGATTGGTGACTTTGGCATGGCGACACGCTGGCCTGCAGAGGATGGTATCGAGGGCGAAGGTGACCGCGAATACATTGGACCGGAGATTCTGATGGGCCAATTCGACAAGCCCGCCGATATTTTTTCACTTGGTCTTATCATTTTTGAGATCGCTGGCAATGTGGAACTTCCCGACAATGGAGTATCTTGGCAGAAGCTTCGCAATGGCGATATGAGCGATGTGCCCAGCCTTACCTGGAGCTCGGAGACAAGCATCTTCCGTGATGCAACTGGAAACCCCATCTCGGAAGGGTCATCTTTCGAGGACCTTTGTACATCCGATCTGGGAGACAACGAATTCGGCGATGACTTCCTGACCAGTTGTCAGCTGAACAACCCTAAACCACAGCGACTCCCACGAAGCGGGGAGCTGATTGATCCACCCAGCTTCATGGTTGATGCCAACCACCCACAGGCATTGGACGGCATTGTTCGATGGATGATCTCCCCTGAACCTCAAAACCGTCCCACGGCCGACCAGATCTTGGAAACTTATGGCGTGCAATTTATTAACCAACGACGCCGTGCTGGCGCCACCGTCTTCGAGGGTAACTGGGGCCCCGCTGACGAGATCTTGGCTGAAGATGCCGAAATGATCGACGTGTAATTTAATATCCCTTTTACTATTTGTGCATACGGAGGGTGTTCTATGCTTTGTTTTTTTCTTTTCTTTTTTCCTTTGTCACCCGGCGTTCAACCTCTCGAGGTCGAAGCATGTCTCTTTTTTTTCCCCTCCCATCTTTGATGCCATGTTTTCACGTCACGACATTATCCCCCTTCCCACGCTTCAACGGTCGAAGCTGCGGTTTTCTTTTTTATTGTGGGCTGGGCTTTGGGGCGTTTTCGATCCATCCGGTTTGGATCTGGGCGTTACCTTGAGCAGTTCACGGATATCACGACTGGAGTTTGCAAAGGGTTCTTTGACCCTGTTTCACGGATCCTTTTTTTTTCCTTTGTACGATTCAATACCTAGCGTTACGAGTTGCCAGAAATGTACCAACCTCGCAGGGTGCTCGCTTCTGGAAATGGTCAAAGTCATTCTGGGATTCTGCCGTATTCATCCCAACATGTCTTATCATCTCCTTGGAATTGCTCCGAGGTGATTATTCTTTCTAGGGCTGATATCTGATCGGACGGCATGTCTAGTTGGCTTGGAGGCATCACTGCCATCTTTGCATTTTCTTTTTTCTGTTTTTCCTGATGATAAATGTGTGCCTTCTGGGCAGTGATGACTCCCTATCCATTTTCTTTGAGCGTGATCTCTGCTAGTTTGGTGTCTTTGGTTGAATACCTGAGTTCCATGTCTGTATAGCGATTGTGGAAGTACGAATTGAAATGCTATTTGAATATTTTTGCTGAAGTATATGAATAGGGGGTTTTACTAGTATATCTTCCAGCACTACTTTTGTATATACAATATCGTTTTAACGTCCATTTATATATTCTATCAGAGGCTAATGCCTAGATTGACACGTGACTTTCAGGTCTTTTAGATAATTTCAGCTTTCCACTGTAACTTTTTGTATTTTTAGCTTTTACGTTAGAGATATTAGATACTATTCTATATATAATGACTGTTTACTGTTGCAATATGTCCAAAAAAAAAAAAAAACTACATTTCCGAATTGCCACGGGATTTCTTGGCGTTTTGGCGCAAAGTTCCCGTTCCAACATCTTGAACTTTTGCTCATATATACTTGTTCCTTTCTCCTAGCATTGAGCTTGATTTATTAGACCTTTACAATTTGCGCAACATGCCCTACCTCTAAGACCCCGACAAAATACACCCTCTCCACGTCTATTTCTCCCTTAATAATAGCCCATACCACGCACCATGGACATCAAAAATTTCGTGTCGGACAATCTCATCCGCCTTACAGGCGCGTCAGAACCTACCGTCATCGATTTCGTGCTTGCGACCGCTAGCTCAGCCAAGTCAAGCTCCTCCCTCCAAGATACCCTCGGGTCATTCCTGGACGGCGTAGATGCTAGCTCAGCCGAAATTGGTGCCTTTGCTCGCGAGCTCTATGCCCGCATGGGCAAGGGCACACAACCCAGCGCATCTGACCCCAAACACACGACGAGCAAGGAATCTACAAAAAAGAAATACCGCCTGGTAGATATGGGCGAAGACCAGCCAGAACCCGCCCTATCACTAGGGCCCACCAACGTCGATGCAGATCGAGAGCGACGGAAGAGACGAGACAGAGACAGCGTTAAGGACAGGAGCAGTAGCAAGCGCGACTCCGAGTTTCGGAGTCGCGGGGAAAAGGATGACAGCAGAAAGCGAGACCGAAGTCGCGATGTAGAGAGCCGCGACCGGCCACGTACGAGGAAGCTCCGCAAGAAGGGCTCGCAAGACTTCGACGATCGATGGGGCGACGAAGAAATCCCCGAAGACGAGATGTACCCGGAGGAGTTCGAAGAATCCCCCTCAAAGCGCACGAGGCTCGACGATGGTTCCGCATCTCCCAACCCGGCATTACCAGGTGACGATATCGAGATCGATCCAAAAACTAAGCAAGAGATCGATCGTCAACGAGATCTTCGTGAACGAGATGAGTTTGCCAAACGACTGGCCAATAAAGAGAGTACCAAGTCGAAGAAGGTTGTTGAGGATCGGACACGCGATGGCGAGGCTGCTCGGCGACGTGCGCTGGGTGACGATGCTAGCGCACGGGCTTCGATGATGCCCGATCTGCGAGAAAGATCTCGACAAGAATACCTGAAGAAGCGCGAGACAGAACGGTTAGCATTGCTGCGACGACAGGTTGTAGAGGAGGCCGCGGAGTTGCGTGATAACCCAAATCTGTCTCGCAAGGAGAAGGAAGAGTTCGCGCGCAACCGAGAGGTTCTTCGTCTCGCCGAAGAAAGGCTTCGGATCGACGACCACCGTGATGGTTATCAGATGCCCTCTGATTACATTACGGAGAAGGGGAAGATCGACCGAAAGAAGAAGGAAGAAGCCCTCTACAAGCGATATGTCGAGCGCGATGAGCTGGGCCAAGAGCGATTTGTCACAGAGCACGAGGAGTGGGAGCTGGAGCAGGCGGCCAAGGCCAAGGCACAGATCAAAAAGGCCGAGTTCATGGACGAGGGAGACTATGAGTATGTCTTCGATGATTCGCAGCAGATCAAATTTGTTACGGACGCCAAACTCGAAGGCACGCAAAAACCAATGACGAAGGAACAGCTGCGGTTCAAGGAGCAGGTCGATGCAGCGGAAAAGAAAGCCCTCTCGATGGATGAAACCCGCAAGAGTTTGCCCATCTATCAATTTCGTGATCAGATCATCCAGGCCGTGGCAGACCATCAAGTTTTGATCATCGTTGGTGAAACTGGTTCCGGTAAAACTACACAGATCCCGCAGTACCTCCACGAGGCCGGTTATACCAAGGATGGCCTCAAGATTGGTTGCACACAGCCGCGACGAGTGGCTGCCATGAGTGTTGCTGCTCGTGTGGCGGATGAAATGGGCACGAAAATTGGAAATGAAGTTGGTTATGCTATCCGATTTGAGGACAACACCAGCGACAAGACCATTCTCAAGTATATGACGGATGGAATGTTACTGCGAGAGCTGTTGACAGAGCCTGACCTAAGCCAGTACTCGGCCTTGATGATTGACGAGGCGCACGAACGGACGGTGCCAACAGATATTGCCTGTGGTCTGCTTAAGGATATTGCCAAGGCACGACCTGATTTGAAGCTGCTCATTTCCTCGGCCACGATGGACGCGCAGAAGTTCCAGAAGTATTTCGACGATGCGCCCATTTTCAATATCCCTGGTCGTCGATACCCCGTTGATGTGCACTACACTTCGCAGCCTGAAGCCAACTACCTCGCTGCAGCCATCACAACCGTCTTCCAGATCCACGTCAGTCAAGGTCCTGGAGATATCTTGGTCTTCTTGACTGGACAAGAAGAAATTGAGGCCGCCGAGCAAAGTTTACAGGAAACAGCTCGCAAACTTGGGAGTAAAATCCCGGAGATGATTATTGCTCCCATCTACGCCAACCTTCCATCCGAATTGCAGACTAAGATTTTTGAGCCTACTCCTCCTAATGCGCGAAAAGTGGTGCTTGCCACCAATATTGCCGAGACTAGTTTGACTATCGATGGTATTGTCTACGTGATTGACCCCGGATTTGTCAAGGAGAACGTGTTCAACCCACGAAGTGGGATGGAGAGCTTGGTCGTGACCCCGTGTTCGCGTGCTTCAGCCAACCAACGAGCCGGACGTGCCGGACGTGTTGGGCCGGGCAAGTGTTTCCGCCTGTATACCAAGTGGGCGTACTATAACGAGCTGGAAGAGAATACTACCCCGGAGATTCAACGCACTAACTTGAACGGAGTGATTCTGATGCTCAAGTCGCTGGGCATCGACCAACTACTCGACTTCGACTTCATGGACCCACCGCCCGCGGAGACCATTATCCGCGCTCTGGAGCAGCTGTATGCGCTCGGGGCGCTCAATGACCGAGGCGAGCTGACCAAGGTCGGCCGACAGATGGCCGAGTTCCCAACGGACCCAATGCTCGCCAAAGCGATCCTTGCCGCCGATAAATACGGATGCGTTGAAGAAGTGCTCTCGATCGTGTCGATGCTCGGCGAAGGCAGCGCACTCTTCTTCCGACCCAAGGACAAGAAGATCCACGCGGACAGTGCGCGCAACCGGTTCACTATCAAAGACGGGGGAGATCACCTGACGCTACTGAACGTCTGGAACCAATGGGTCGACTCGGACTTTAGCGTAATCTGGGCGAAAGAGAACTTCCTACAGCAGCGCAGTTTGACGCGGGCGCGCGATGTGCGCGACCAGCTCGCCAAACTATGCGACCGCGTCGAGGTCGCCGTCAGTACCTGTGGGTCTACGAATATCCAGCCAATCCAGAAGGCCATCACGGCTGGGTTCTTCCCCAACGCGGCACGACTCCAGCGCGGCGGTGACAGTTACCGCACTATCAAGAATGGGCAGTCGGTATACTTGCATCCTTCTAGTACGCTTATGGAGGTTAACCCTCGCTGGGTTATCTACTTTGAGTTGGTACTTACCAGCAAGGAGTACATGCGCAGCAATATGCCGCTGCAGCCGGAGTGGCTGGTTGAAGTTGCGCCACATTACTATAAGAAGAAGGACTTGGAGAGTTTAGGGTTGGATCGCAAGGTTCCGAAGGGGCAGGGTGTGGCTGGGGAGAAGAGCCGGGAGTAGAGAGACCTCGGGACCTTTTGAGGGATTTTGAAATAACTTAGTCATGAAAAAAAATATCAAACCTCAGGCATTCAATTCAAACCAATCACCGCCCAGGCAATTCAAACCGCGGCAAATCAGCCGAACCGAGGTTCTCTCCGCTTTCCCCCAGACTTCGGAATTTTATACGTCACCCCCCGTCGAATTACTTATTTTTCCCCCTTTGAATTTGATTTCTATCCTTCACTTCTTAACTACTCATTTACCTCAAAATGTCTCAAAAATTCACACCCGCTGAAGTGGCTGCCCACAAAACTGCCGATGAGGGCCTCTACATCATCATCGACAACAATGTTTTCGATGTAACCAAGTTTGTCGACGAACACCCCGGCGGTGCAAAGATCCTCAAGCGTGTAGCTGGCAAGGATGCCTCGAAGCAGTTCTGGAAGGTATGTTTTCTATTCTTTTCCTTCACAAGATATTATTGCTATGATCGGCAATCGGCCGAGTTGCCGAGTCGCCCATAAAAACAAAGCAACTAACACCGCTTAGTACCACAACGAATCTGTGCTGAAGAAGTACTCGCCCAAACTGAAGATCGGCGAAGTCAAGGATGCCGCGAAGCTGTGAATAATATATTGGAAAATGAATGAAATGATAGCTTTGGGTGTTTTGGTTTGGGGGAATCAGCCCACCGCGGGAACCCCTGGTCAATAGCACATTACAGAGATGTCACCATATTGTATTTACTCCGCTAGCGAACGTTATACCCGCGATTCGAGTTTGATTCTTTTGTTTTGTGAATATTATCTTACTATAATAGAACGGAGAATAGAATAATATAGGTTGGAGGTCGATACTACAGATATCTTCATTCTTCTTACAAACACTTATACATTATATTCAGATATATCATCACGAAGATTCAATACATATATCCAGGGTCTGCTGGGTTGATAGTTGTAATGTCCAAGAAAAAAAAGAAACGCCCTTCTCCCTCCCGCTGCACGAGAAATGGTATCCAAATCAAAGTGGTATCAACTCGAAAGCGATAAATGGCAAATGACAGGTAGATGTGTGAGTTCAGTAAATCAGAGAATAGACACGAATAGGTGACAGTGACAAAATAGAAGACGAATATGTCCAGTGATGATGTACGCAGACAAATCATGGAGGGACGTGGCGATAAACCTGCGCCAAAAAAAAGCTATGTTGCTTAAGGGGGAAAAAAAAGGAAAGAAAGAAAAGTAGAGGTATATGGTAAGTCAGAAAAAAAAGGGAAAATTAAAAAAAAAAAAAGGCAGAAGAGAAAGAGTCAGTGAACCTCGTCCAGACTATAATTAGAATCCCCTCCATGGATCCTCAGGACGATACGAGAACTCGCTGCCCTGAACCGAAGGCGTGTCAAACTCATACCGCCTCTCACTCCACTGACTAGAAGTCTTGCGGGTATGGCGCTGGCGTGGAGGAGCACGGGGGCGATTGATCTGTTCTGCGTGGTGATCGATGAAAGCCTCCATACGCACAGTACCTATATCAAACATGTTGCTACCCGCCGCGCTGGGAGCGCGACCACTCGCCTCGGAAGTGCGTCGACTGATACTACTACGGCGGCTTCCAATCCCCGGGGGTGGGGCTGAGGGCTGCATGGCGGGAAAGTGGAGCTCTGAGGAGCCGGCTGTGGTGCCGCTGTGTGAAGAGGGTATAGTGCCGGCGCTGGAGAAGCTGCGGAGAGCGTGGAGGGCTGGAGGACGGGGCGCGGTGTTGCTGCGCTTGCGGTTGTGGGTTGAGAAACGGGGCACATGCGGTGCGTCGGCTGCTAGGTCGATGCTGCTGCCTGGGATTTCTGGGACTGGGGCTGGGGCGCTAGCGCTGTTGAAGGAGCGTTTGCCCTTTGGCATTGGGCGGGGACGGCCTTTCGCAACGCGGATGGAGTCGCGGATTGGGTTTCGGCGGTGGAAGGCGTGAGGCAGGGTTGGGGACTCTTCTTGGGGGACTGGAGGTAGGGCTGCAAGTTCTTGGAGGCCCATTGAGGAATGGCTGAGGAAGGATAGCGCCGTTAGCCAGACATAGTGGCGTTCGATAGTTAGCGCTGTGAATTTAAGAGCGCGCTGTGGTGTTAACACAAGGATGGAGCGGTTGAATGGAGTTGAAAAACCAGCGCCTTTGGGTAGGGGGTTGTCGTCTTTGACGTCCAGGACGGATTGGATGGTGACTATAACGAGGATGGATTCTACGTTAGCTGCTAGTCGAACCAAGTCAAATGAGTTCCTTGAAGACTTACACTTCCGACCACTCTTGCCGAGCAATGCAGGCCCACTGGTAGGTTGTTTACTACTCCACATAATGGAGCCTTCGTAAGGGGCGAGCCAAACCCATCGCTTATGTCGCACACCACTGTTCGTGATATTCGCCGACACATCGTCGGGGTTTTTGCCCTCCCAAATCTCCTTAGACTCGCCCATCCCGAATGATTTGCGCCGACGGACGTATTTAAACATCCACTCGCCAACCATAGTCTGAGCAATAGCATCAACGACACTGGTTGGCTGCACGCCGCCGGTGGAATCTTTTCTTTCACGCTGGTCACGATTCCAAGTTTGAGATGGAGTCGCACGATGCGGGGCTCCGTATCGCTCACGAGGCGCTGTGATCTCATCACAGGGCATCGGCGGCGGCGGTCGGTATGGTCGGTATGTTGGGCTTTCTGGGGAAAAGGTAGAGATCGATCGTGATGGGGAAGAGCGAGTTTCTGGCCTCTCGGTAAGTTCGGACTGCGATGTTGCTGCAGCGGATCGTACCCGGCGGATGGTTGGGCGCCGGACGACAGGTTGCCGACCGCGGTCTGAGAACTGTCTGCCAGATGACCGAGTAGGGCTTGGTGGTCCGTCGCTGCCGTTGAGCGGGAGTTTGCGTGAGCTTAGACGCATGGGCACGGGGAATGGCGGTGCAATGCTTGAGCCTGCACTGCCGCTCTCGAGGCTTGGTTCGCTGGGGCTACGGGCACGAGGCTTCTGGTGTGCGGCGGTTCCGCTAGAGATCATGGCCATTTTGCGCATGCCGGGCTGGCGGATACTCGAGGAGGCCGTGCCAGACCGTTGGGAAGCCCGAGAGCGGCTAATATCGGGTGGTTTTGACTCGGGGGAGGACAGCTGCTCGGCAACTTCGGGAAGCGCCATGTCGTCCAAGCTAGGTCGTGATTTAGTGGTGATGAGCTTGCCACGACTAACAGTATATGCAGCAAATGGGCGGTTGAGGAGCTCATCGTCGGTGAAGACATCACGTTCGCTATGGGGGCCTTCATCGTCGCTATTGTGTTCAAAGCCGGCGAAGAGACTGCTAGATCGTAGAGGTCGTCGAATATTGGACAAAGCACCATCTGAGAGCGGACCATTGTCATTGTTACCAGGGTAGGCCTGCACATGATCTGGGCCGGGTGCTCTAGGAGGTTTCACCGGACGACCAACCGGATGGTCTGTTATTAGGCGTCTCTGGTTTCGTTTTTCAGACCGCGGCGGAAGCGGGGGCACGGTGTAAGACTCAAGACTAGGCTCATGGGGTTCGGAGCGAGGTAGTACATCTTGAATAGCAGAAGGGAGAAGACTGGCGGGAAGCTTGACAGGGCGTTGGTCGATACGGATCTCTTCGGTTTGGATAGCGACCGAGCGACAATCGATTTTTTCTCGGAAGTTAGCCTGACAAGCAATATTCTTGGTTTGCGGCGGAAGAACGACACTGTTTCGAGGTGATGGTGGCTCTGAGCCTGGTGGGTGGATGGCAATCATCGGAATGTCCATCTTGGATAGGTCATTATCCGGTATCAAGCTGAGACGATTCTCGCTTTGCACATCTGTTTCCGGATGGACATCCGTCTGGGTGGATGTCGATACCATTTGCACCGGCTCTGAGGTGGATTTAACAGGATGAGGCGGCTCAGCCACGTTGGGCGTCCATGGAGGACTTGGAAGATCATCCACTGTTTGGCAAGAAGTAGAAACCATCAGAGGTGTAGCTGGGAGCGTGGCGCTGCCCTTGGTTTCAGGTATGTTTGCGTTGTTGTCCTCTCCTTTCTCGGGCTCTGAAGCTATATTCGTGGACTCAGGAACAATTTCGTCTACAACCTTCGCTTCCATTGTAGGCGACGGAGGAGGCGAGTACTGAACGCCGATGTCGCGGTATTCGACCGCCGAGTCGACTTTCACCGAGTTAGCAAGCCCAAGTTCCCGGGATCCACGGAACTCCATGGCAGTGGGTGAGTGTGAGTCCGAGCTCTGAAGGGACAGACCCAGAATCCTTCTGGCCTTGGAAGAAATACTATGCGACCCCTGTGAGTGAACCGACATTGGACGTTCTTCGGGGAGGGCCTCTGGAGAGACGGGGAGTTCATCGTCAGATGGAACAAACTCATCCTCGTCATCAAAGTTGAGTTCCTCCGCCAGGTTCAGGCCTGAACCATTCCTGACGCCAGGCGCAATGCTCATAACCGAATACCGCATGCTATGGAATATGACCGCCTCTTCATCTTCCGAGCTCATGCTAGTGACGCTTGTGCGTCGGTGGCTTAGGCTACTAGATGCCACGCTGACCGAGTCGCTTTCTTTATTCTTGTCATGAACAAGGTCACCATTCTCACTCGGTAGTGACGAATGTATAGTCGCCACCTCTTGGGCAGCTGCCACCTCGTTCAGAACTGTCTTCAAGCGGCCCTCGACTACGTGAACCTTGCGTTCTAGGGCTCGGCGTTCATCCGCCCAGGAGTCTTGGTCGCGACTCCATAGTAATTGGGTTCGTTCGAGGTTCTCCTCCCGACTTCGAACTTTCTTCTGTGCCTGCTCGAGCTTTTTACGAACATCGCCGATGCTCTCCACCGCTTCATCCCGCTCCCGAGCTAGCTCGGTCATCGCAGATGACGTCCCGCCTTCCAGTAGTTGGATTTGGTGTTTCAACGAGCGCCCTTCCCAGGTCGCTTTAGAGAGACTCGCGGTCAATGTTTCATTTTCCGTTCTTGATTCGTCCAAACTGTTTTCCAATACATCGATCGACTTGGTTTTGTTCTCTATCTCTCGCCGCAGCGAGAGAATCTCCGAAACGAGAGATGCATGGAGAGTGGGCGTGATTCTGCGTGGGTCAAAAGGTGATAAGGTATCCTCGATGATATCATCTTCGTCTGTTTGTCCATCGGGGGAGAATGCGGGCGTTGGGAGGCCAGTTGGAGGGGAAGATGGCGGGGAGGAATCCCGGCGCAAAGACGGTCTCGATCTTGATCTTCCATTGGATGGAGCTCGAGATCTGGATCTAAAGGACGGTGCTGGGGATTGGTGGGCCATGGAGGCCGGGGACTGTAAGTCGGCCATCTCTGCGCATCCGGATGAAAAACCTCAAATCATCAAACCATCGGGGCTATGCTGGGCTAGCCCAAGGCACTAGATCCCATCAAAAGACTACCGTAGTTCAACCATTCGACTATTAAGTGAAGTGCTGATCTCAGACAAGGAGCTGCAGTCGAAGGCGGGGGGGTAAAGACCTTGGAACGGAGAGATCAGTTACAAAGATGTACGGCTGAGAGGGCTTCGAAGGATGAGACCCTCCGTACACAAACAGATTTTAGCTTAAGAGTAAGAAACCCGTATATGGCCGATCCCGGGGAGGGAAAATCGATCAGTCCGAAGGGTCGATCACGATTAGAGTAAGATCAAGTTTACGTTGATAATGGGAGCTTAGACCTCTGGAAAATCAGCCCTGCATATCAGAGAAGGAAGAAAAAAAAAAGTCCCAGGGGCGTTAAGGGGGGAGAAGGATATGGGGAAAGAAAAGAATCCACCCGATTAGCCAGTAACTCCACTACCAAAAGGTACTAAGATATATAAAAAAAAGCTTTAGAACGGATTATACGGAGTATCTCACAGCTGATTCGAGGTAATTAAAAAAGAAAAAGCCATGTCGAGAGCTATCAACTGGGAAAATCAGTTCGATATTTCATAAATTAATTGCCTGTAGTTCGTGAAACCCAAGCTCAAAATCAGCCCCCTATTCTTTTTTGAAATCAAGTTAAATCATAAATAAATAAAAAAAGCCTTTGCAATGACCAATAGGGTTCCGAAGACACTAAAATAGTGATTGTTAGCGTGTTTGAGAATATAAAATTAGATGTGCTCAACTTGTCCGGACTCCGTTTGGGCGATCGTATGTTGTAGACATCACATAGGCTCCGGTTTCAGAATCTGCATATGTTACATGTATAGTATTTGATGCCTTTGTGTTCAAAAATCCATGGAAGTTGCGGATCAGGGGTAAAAATGGATAGAAATTAAGAGACCCATTCAAGGTCTCCACTGAAAGAGCTTCGAACCCACAATGTTATGATAAAAGTTATTCCAATCTTCTCTTTGCAGTGTACGGAGTACTCTGTACGGAGTGCGGAATAAATGCTTTATTCTCGTATCGGAGTGTCTAGACTCTCCTAAATTGTCAAATCGGACAATGAATAGAGAGAAATCTCCGCGAACCATTGTCAGCCATTCGCCCCACTGGCTTCAGGGGACGGCGTACTTTTGACTTGGTCGTTGACAGGTCGATATTCGAGTACGGAGTACTTCGGACTTAATATCCCTTTTCTCTGCGGATCTTGGAGGCGCAGGCGATATTGTAAGGCGGGAGGGGCTGAGGTTATGTACGGAGTAAGGAGGTCAACGTGGAAGATTGTTTTGAGAAATGCTGTTCAAAAGGTGGAGAGGACAGAAGGTTGAATTCCTTATGTTGTATGTGCTTGTATCGAGCGGACCTTCGCTGATTTCCCTGTTAAAAAAAATCATTTAAGATCTCGAATTCATGTGCCTGTTGTGAAATACCCTAACCCTTTCCAAGGTTGGAACCTCGGAATATTGACTAAGCATATTTGCCTCAGGCCTGCCTAGGTGGTTCAGGCTCAATTTCACTGACCTATCTAGCCGGGATCTCAACTTCCTAGGGAAACCGACATAATTTGGAAATTGTGGGGACTACATCTCTCACCAACTACACTACGGAGTACATAAAACTACAATGTCGACAGATCACCCACCCCAGATGCTATTTTTTGACACATTCGGCACAGTAGTTTCATGGCGTACATGCGTTACGGAGGAGCTGAGCACAGCCGCCTTGCATGCTGTGAGCCACCGGGACCTATCAGCCGACCTGCAGGACCGCGCTGCAGCCATGACCTGGGACGACTAGCTAGCATTCGTTGTAGAATGGCGGGAGTCCTACAATATATTCACCAATACATTTGATTCTTCCAAAGGGTTTGTATCAGTTGATCAGCACCACTACAATGCCCTTCAGGACCTCTTGCAGAAGCGTGGCCTGGATGGGCTGTTCACTGACGAGAAGCTGTGGGAACTCTCTTATGCCTGGCACCGGCTCAGCTCGTAGCCGGATAGTGCCCAAGGTCTTGAGTTGTTGAACCGTCTGTTCATCACTTCTACCCTATCAAATGGGAATGTCTCTCTACTGCAGGATCTCCAGAGACATGGATCACTCCCTTTCACCCATCTTGTTAGTGCCGAGAATTTCCGGGATTACAAGCCTTCGCCACTGGTTTATAATGGTGCCGCCAAGAATTTGAACTGGAGTCAGGCCAGTGCGGATTGGTTGCGGCGTATCTCGCCGATTTGAAGGCTGCCAAGAGCTGTGGGTTTCGGACTATCTATGTTGAGCGTGAACTGGAGGAAGAGTGGTCAAAGGAACAGGCTGCGAAGGCTAAGACCGAGGACTGGGTGGATATGTGGGTTGATCTTGGGTCGAAGAGCTTCCGAGAGTTGGCTAGGCGATTTGAGATTGAGTAGCGGTCTGCTATATGGGTTAGTAGTTAGACACCAGAAAGAGGTGTTTAGGACTCATTCCAGTGGGAATTGTGTATATTTGGACAATCTAAAAGAGCAACTTGAAATATCATGGGTCCATTCGGCTCAGCATCGGATATATCTTTTTCTCCTTCCATAGCCCCATACCGAATCCCCCAACATCAAGCCCAAAGGATATTGAATAATCTTCGCCACCCAATACCTGGAGATGGGAGAGGCTCTGGATTTTCATTTGCGAAGTGAAGAAATTCGCGGATTGGAATTTCTCCCAATGGGATACGCCTGGTCTTTCGCCAAAATTTGTACCCAAAATATAAGACAAAGATACGAGGAATGTTGAAATATGACGATACAAAGGTTTGATGGCTCTAGTCTCCATCAATAAAAACCTAGAATCCGCCAGTAAGCAGAATGATACTAAACGAAACTAGAGCAATCCATGCTGCGTAAGGTTGAAAGGGATTTTCCCAAGGAAGCTCAGCCCGATTGATCTTTTGCTTATTACAGCCATAAAAGAACCTCAAGTAGATCACCTCTATGTTGATCCAATGCACCAGTGAGGCAGCTGAGACCAGTTGCTGTAGCCAATCGAACACAATGGAAGCCGCGGATGACAGGGTCATATACCCCAAGACAAAAAAAAAGATCCAACTGCGGCGACTGATATCCAGGGAACTCCAAAGCGATTGATGCGGGTGAATAGTTTTGGAGTGTGTCCCTCTTGAGCAAGACCATATAGTGTCCTGGTTCCAACAAGCATTGCTGTCTTTGGGTTAGCAGAAATACAGATGCTGACAAAATATCTTTACTCACCAGAGTTACCCGCGCTCCATGTACTTGTCACAACGACGGCATTAATAATCGAAGGGACCACTTTGATCCCGACATTAGTGGCAGCTATCGCTTATATCGTGTCATTTCATCAAATGGTGACATTTGGCAATCATACATACTATGTGTCCAGCCTTCACATTGTTCCTGTCCCTCATGCGTGGATCATGTTCAAGATGCGCAAGACTATCACAGAGGATTAGCTGCTCTGTCAAAAAGGAAATAACAGACTCATCGGAAGGAGCCACCGGACTAGCTGATTTGTGCTGTGGTAAGAACACCCACAAGTACCTAGGCAGTAGAGTCGTTAGACTCAAGATAGCTCTGTGACGGAGTTTAAATAGCATAGGATTTATTAGCTGTATCACATTCAATGTGTGAATGTTGCCCTGAGGCAAGATAGATTAAGGTCCCGAATGCGAGCAGTGTTGGATTTACTAGCAAGGGAGGACAATCGATAAGTCGTGGGCAATTCTTTCTTTTCGTCTTCAGAGCATAGACATTTAAAAGCAATAGATGTTATGTAGCAACTTGATATTGTTTATGGTCATGGGTCAGAAAATAACATGAAATTCCGCTCCTGCCTCGCGGCTGTCTTCAGGCAGTGGCCAAGTCCTCAACCAAGTTTGATCTGGACACCTTCAGCACATGACCGCATAAAAATCCCTGCATCGCCAAATCATCAAGTCGCACTGCGAGCCCAGGCACGTATATCATCCCATCTACTCGGTTGATTCCGATCCTTACCCTTACCGTCGCACCTCAAATATTGATCCCCTCCCGAGAGCGCATCAGAGGTTGTTAACGAAATGTCTTGTTTCAGACAAGATGGCCTCCAAGCCTCAGGATGAGCCCCCTAAGAATTCGTGTGTCACTGGCGATGGCAGCCCGCTCCGGGGATTCTACTGGGTGAGAACCGACCCCAAAGTGCAACCTAACTACTGGGTGTAAGCATCTTTTCCCTAGCCCAGTATATTTACTTACACATAAACTCTACAGCCAACGCAAGAAATTGTGTGAATGCCGAGAGCACTTCTCAACCCAGTGGCCGGTTGACCATGTGATGATCGTAAGGACTCCAAATCAAGTTACCCCCAGGAGGTAATATTCCAAGAAATGGTTAACCCTTGTCAATCTTACGAAGCATATCCCCGCATGCGCCTTCAAGTGCCCTTATTGCACAGCTCTCGATAACCAGGAGAAAAACGAGCGACCTTGCCCAGAACAGGTTAGAAGACACATTCGGACAGCGCATATCGTGAGTACACCAACATACCTACCAGCCTGGTAGCCTCGGAACGACGCTCATATTATTTAAAAAAAGCAAGGGGACTTCTATGTGGGACTGCAGATTTCCTGTAAGTGTACCAAGAGCCAAAAAACAAAAAAAAAAAAAAAAAAAAAGAGAAAGAAATCCACGCATACTGACCTTTGCTGTCTTAGGATCCTTCTACTCTGATATCTCATCCCACAGTTGAGAGGATGTCCGTCCCTGATCTCATGGCTGCAGTGTACACAAGAACAGTCCACCATAGCTATCTTGCGAGTCGAATCATAGGAAACACATGACAAATGACAATTTGACAGTTGAATCAACCCCAGAGCCTAGGCCTTGCCCGTATAACTTGTTTCTATTGAATATGAGGTATCATAATGTATACGAAGATCACCAGGTGTCT